CTTCATGAACAATGCCTTTAATTTTCCTATCACCATCAATTTCCGCTTCAAATTCATAAATGGCAGAATTCTCATATATTGGGAATTTATATAAAGCCTCGATGGTTTCAGAAGTAGTATTTTTGTAGGTTTGGCAAATTTTGACTATTTTGTTTTTAGTAAAGGACAGGATGATTCCAAAGAAGGGATAGAGTTCAAAAATAATTAATATATATTAATATATACATTAAGACCCGAAATTTAGATTGTTACCTTCGGAGATCATATCAACAACTTATTTTCAATATCATCAGGAATTTCATTTAAAAAAAAAATATATCAAATTCAAAAAAAAAAAAAAAAAAACAAAAAATATATATTTCTTAAAATGCTAAAAAATTCATACTATTAGCTTCCACTGAAACATTTTGCAGAGCAAGTAATTGAGGTTCATTATTATCCGGAATATAAATTAGACCGTAAATTTGCATTTTATCAATAAAGACAACGAAGAAAAGAATGAAATAGAATCTTATATCCTTGTTGTGGGAAATTTATCAATACTTATTAAGTTAATCTGTCTGTGGTTCATAAACAAATCAAAAATGGAAATTATTTAACTTAAAAATCCAAATCCGAAAAGATTCGGATTGATCTATTAATCCGATGGATTCGAAAGAGGGGATTCTGATTTTTATAGATAAACCCGATCCGACTTTGCGGAATTCTATATGGGATCGCCATAGCATATCATCTCAACATAATATTCAGTTTGATAAAGTTGTCTAAGTTTACATATTTACGAATATAAATAAATTAAAATATCAAATTAAAAAATTTATTTTTTCATTGTAGAAATTGTAAATTTTCGTTACGTTTAAAACCGACTTTTCTCAAAATTGAATAATTAACCAGAAACCCTTTTTGCTGTGGGCGATCCCATATATAAAGCAAAAAGTAATAAGAACTAGGATTTTGAAGTTAACGCTTTTAAGAATATAACCAGATTATTTTATTTTAATATTTTATTTTACAAAATCACAAAAAATAAAATAAGAAGCTAAAGTGCCGAGGCCATTGAAATTTGTGATTGTTGCTAAGATAATAAATATTAAAATAAATGATAAATAAAAAAAAAAAATTATATTTTAAATCGAGGGAATCAAAAAAGAATTAGAAAGAACAAATAACGAGAAGCAATAAAGAAGTTAGAGAAGAGGACAGACGAAAAGAGAAATATAAAAAATAAAATATTTTCATTAACTTTCATTAACCCATTTTGTAATCCATTCCTCGGCTTTTTCTAAAGCCCAATTAACTTTTTCTTCTGAATTATTTCCTTAAAATCCACCTCCACTTTCCATCACTAATTTCTTTAAAACTTTTGTTGCTTTCTCAAAGCAAATCTCACTTTCTTCTTTAAATTTGGGAAACAGCTCAATTTCCAGATACTTTATGTCAATTGATGTCGTCCAAATTTTTTCTTTGATAAGTTTATTTTTTTCCTCTACTTTAGGAATACTTTTTTTCAAATTATTATTATTTTTATCTCCACTATCATCAAAATACTTATAAAACTCTTTACTGGCTAAAAACTTCCCATCATATGATTGTAATCTCAAGAAGCTAAACAATATTTCTATATTCTCGCCACATTTCACATTGAAATGTCTCATCGGTCAAACGATTAAATGATGTACCTCGAGTTATATATTATATGTAAAAATAAATTAAGAATATTTTTGAAAAAAAAAAGAGAATGGAATTTATAAATTACCGTCTTGAAATATAGATATTTTTGATTTTGGGGAAGTTGAACACGAAGAAATAGAACATAATCTGGCTGCATTTGCAAAGAACGGGTCATTTCTTTTGGATAAGGAATCAGAGATTAAATTAACAATTTGAAAAACATTATATACTTGTCCATCTGTTAGTAACAAATATTGCGGTGGGAAAATCAATATATTCCTTTCTTTTATCTTGTGAAGTCTGTTACACCCATTGCAACACATTTAAAATTTCAGTTCCGCCGTAACTTGCATGATCTAATGCCTTTTTGAAAGTTTCTTCTGTGCAAGGATTACTTTCCGGAAATAAAGATGTAAATTTTGAAACAAATGATACTACATTAAATATACAATCTTCGGGTAATGAGCGAAGGATTAGTTCTAAAGCTTCCTTGGCTTTTTTGATTGGATCACCACTCATAGAGCCAGAACTATAACCATTAAGAAAGATTGTTATTTTATTAAGTGTATATGTAAACTTAACTTATAAATATATATAATTTATTGAATTACCGATCAATTATAATATCAGCTCAGTGGGTTCAGATTTAATACAATTTGTTTCAGTTCGCGGATTATATTCCAAGAATGCCCTGCAATTTAAAATTATAAATTTAAAATAAATATCAATTAGATCTAATAATAATAATATATTTAATATTACCTTGGTTTATCCAAATCTTTACTTTTGACCACCAAGACAAAATCTTTTTCCAAATAGCTAACGTCTTCTGCCAATTGGATTTTTGCCACTTTGTTATCTCCACCAATAGTCAATTCAGTGGTAATCAAGTGTGATGGAGATTCGATACTTGTAATCATCGATTTCATTCTACATGTAACTTCGACTGTTAGAGTAGCATTCAAGACAGGGGACTCATTACCGGGTACACGTACTTTTCCATCATTAGATCTCGGATTTAAAGGAGATCCATAAGAGGACCCATATCTCGGAGCAATCGTGTAGGTAATACGAATCTTATACGTTCATTTTCTAAATCATGCTTCAATTCTGAGATATAGGTTATTTTGATTACTACGGTCTGTTGAGGAGTGAGATTACCCACTGAACATTGAAAGGTATCAGATAGTTCTTCTTCTAATAAATAGGCCTCTGTTATAATATAAAGATTCTTGTTTTATTATACCATAACATAATTACATGATTCATATGATTGTAATGAATACTCACCGCTACAGCTTCTTTATATTTTTCGGCTGCTTCTTTGGCTTCATGAACAATGCCTTTAATTTTCCTATCACCGTCAATTTCCGCTTCAAATTCATAAATGGCAGAATTCTCATATATTGGGAATTTATATAAAGCTTCAATAGTTTCAGAAGTAGTATTTTTGTAGGTTTGACAAATTTTGACTATTTCGTTTTTAGTAAAAGAAAGGATGATTCCAAAGAAGGGATAGAGTTCAAAGATAATTAATATAGATTAATATATATATTGAGACTCGAATTTGGATTGTTACCTTCAGAGATCATATCAACAACTTATTTTCAATATCATCAGGAATTTCATTTAAAAAAAATAAACAAAAAATCACAATTTTTATTTTAAAAAATAATAACAAACTCAAAAAAAAAAAAAAACAAAAAATATATATTTTTTGAAATGCTAAAAAAAAATTCATACTATTAGCCTCCACTGAAACATTTTGCAAAGCAAATAATTGAGGTTCATTATTATCCGGAATATAAATTAGACCGTAAATTTGCATTTTATAAAGTTGACTAGTTGATAAATTTTCTAAAATTTGTGAGTCATGTGATGAAAATATAGTACGTATCAACTTTTGCTATAGTCTTTTAAGATCGAGCCATTTTATTTTTTATTAATAAAGTATTTTGGTTCCTGATATGACAAATTTATTTCTTTATTAAATTTCCTCTTTTTAAGAGTAGATTTTATAAATTTTTTTGAAATGAAAATGAATACAAACTTGTGCGTATGAATATACTAGAATATTTTTACAAAAATTTGTACATTTATGTTTGAATGGATTCAGAATGACAATCTTAAAGTTTCATTAATAAAAATCACAAAAAAAAGTCGAAATCCCCGCTCACATAAAAAACAAGTTTCCATTACGTGATATTTGCAAATTAGCAAGTTAATAGCCAAAATAAATATTTTAAATAATTAAAATATATATTTAGAGTCCTCACTAATGATTTTATTATTATGGATCAAATTAAAATAATTATTAGATATGGCATTTTATCTGTTGCGAAATTTTTTAAAGTTTATAAATACTCGATATATAAAAAATAACATCATTAATTATTTAAGTTTTCTTAATAACCTTAAATACTTCATAATCAACAATTGAAAAAAGATGTGGTGCTGCTGTTATGGATTTTTTATAGAAACCATCCTTTTTATATTTGCAGTTTACATCTAAAGTAAATTAGAAGAACGAGGACTATACATAGAAAGGTCTTCAAAATATAGACTCCCATGATTTTTGATTACTTTTGCTCATATTCATAACTGCATGACTTGGTATCTTTACTCTGCTAAGAATTGAATTTTCTATATTACCATTCTTCAATGAGAAAATAAAGCTATCCATTGTTTGTACCAAAGCACCACCATCGATATTATTTCATCCATCAAAAGTTAAAGGTTTGTATCCTCCAAAGATTTCATCTGCTCCTTCAACTTTCATAATTACTACCGTACGAGAGTGACCATGGCAAACGTTTGAGGAGCATATCCATCTTTTCAAAATCAGTTCAGTTGAAATTCATAAGAAATGCCTGCTAAAGAATAAGTATGTACTTGGTTTATAATTAATCCAAGAGGAAATTTTAGCAATTTATTCATCAGTGATGATAGTGGAAAATAATTTTTTTCTCGAACAGGCAATTCTTGAATCAGAATTGATCTCACTGGTAAAATAATTGAGTTTCAGGAGATATTAGATATTGCGTCAAATCTTTCTAGAGTTACTCATCAAGACTTTCCTTAAATGGTTGTATTTTATCCAAGATGTCATTGCCAGGGTATGGAAATTTCCAATATATAGACTCAAATTCTAATTCGTTAGCAAATAACATTAAATCAAAAATAAATCTTTATTTCAACAATTTCCAAATTAACGATTCTCTCATAAACATATCCATATATAAAATAAATTAATTATAAATAATAAAATAAGGTATAGATAATAGTATTTAGTTATTGATAATAACTTACTATTTTCTAACTCTTTACGAAAGTAAGACGACCAGTATTTTAATATATTAGAATGTGAAATAATAGATTTTTCTTTATTTTTAACTTCAATGACTACATTGTAACCATCTTCATCATTAAGAAGTTCAATAAAGTTTTGAGATAACTTGTTAAAAAAATTTTAAAGACGAGTCTGTCCCCGACTTAATTTAAGAACCAATAGATTAACGTACCGATTTTTCTTTCGCACGCATTGTAAAGAAAATAGATAAATAAAAATGACTACCAAATTTTATGACCGTTTATCAAAAGACATTACTCAACTTCTTGAAGACCCTATCGATTATAATGTATCAATTGAAGTTAGTGAAGAACGGATAGTCAAAATTTTAAAGTTCATTCTTATATTTTACAATCACGTAGTTCTTATTTTAAAAAGAAATTAAATGAAGCTCCTTTCAATGAGAATCATATCAAAGTATTAAATATGCCTGATATTTCTGTGAAAATATTCAAAGTTATTATCAAGTAAGGATAATTTTATTCATGTCCAAAATAATTATTTGAGTACTTTCAGTCGAATTCATTTTTTTCATAAATTAATTAATTGTAATTTGAAAAATAATATTTTTAGATACATTTATTGAGGAATGATTTCATTGGAAAATTAGAAAATTCCATTATTTTAGATCTATTGATTTCAGCACATAAACTTAATCTAGATGAATTAGTTGAGCATCTTCAAACTCATCTCGTTAATAAACAGGTTATCAAATCAAAAATTTTACAATCATTCAAGGCTTTTGTAATGATATTATTGCCAATTATCCTAATATTATTTTCGAGTCCGAGAATTTCCTTTCACTTCCTGAACATGCACTAATTAAACGAGATGACCTACAATTGGAGGAAGGTAAAATCTGAGAATACGTCATTCAATGGGAAAAGTCCAAAATCCAACTTTACATACTAATATTGATGAATGGACAAATGAAATGACTTAACTTTTAAAGACAACTTTAAAACAATGTCTTCCACAAATTAAATATTTCAATAATTCTGGTAAAGACGTATTGAATAAGCTTTCTCCATATTTACAACTTTTTGAAACTAAGTTATGGTTAGAAATTAATAGTAAATTCATGGCACTTGACAGACCGATCACTTCAACAGAATTACCACCTCGAAAAATCTTAAATGGAACACTTCCAACTAGAACTACTTTAAATATTATTGCTGATGAGGATGAGAGTGGTGAAAACGAGACTTTCTCTTACCTTATCTTTGGATTGATGGAAACAATACTCTATCTTTTGGTTTGGATAATATTTAAGTGAGATGGATTGATGGATGCATTTTAATTACTTGTTAGAGTCGGTTTCGTACGAATACTATTTTTGAAATTTATAATCAAGTATCAAAGCAATTATTTGTTTAAAAGTGGATAAATTCTTGGAGGATTTATTCTTTTTAGTTAAATGAGCCAAACAAGTATAAAAAAAACGATTGTATTTTGGTGATGTGTAGAATTAATGTAACAATTTTAAAAAAAAACTATTTTCGCAATGAGAATTTTCAATTAAAGAATATGAAGGTTTCAAGTAATATAGTATTCATTTATTATTATTTTTTCTTGTAATATATAGATGAAGTAAAATAAAGTTTGACAAATTTCTTTTAGATACATTTATTGAATAGTGCAATAATTTCACATGACGTAATTTATTGTGAAAATATTTATTCAGTAACATATATTTTGTGACGGGATCCAGTAAACTATACAGAGCATTACTTTAGAAAGGATCGACTATACAACAAGTGAAACCAGAATTTTCTCGGGAATTTTCGTCCAGAAAACCGTAAACAAAAGAAATATAAATCTTTTTTTTTTTTTTTGCTTCAATCAACTACTCGCAAAAAAATTAAATCAACACCGTTTATTATTAATAATTAAAAGAAGAAAAATATTAAATTACAAAACTACAATTACAATTAAAAAGTCATAGATATTAAGTTAAGGTTATCAATCTTGAATTCAACTTTCTAAATGATACCTTATAATTTCTTTTGTGTTTCCGTAGTAAGAAAATTTAATAAATAATATATCAAGTATGCAAATGATTTAAATAATAAAATAAATATTAAAAATATCTCATCTCCTTTGTATTTTAGGTCTAGCTTCATCCCATGGCCCATGAATTTCCCTTAAAATGTTGAATAATCATATCATTAATATAATAATTATTTATAATGATTTTCTGAGCTTATAAAATAAAAATTCAAACTTACTTTTTGTATTTTTGTATCCAGATTAACCAATATGGACAAACAAATGTAATAAAAGTAATCATCAAAATATATATTATAACAACTGCTTTTGATATATCCATGAATAAAATGGCAGCCAAAAAAACCAATAAGAAAGTTAGGGCTATATTAAATTTTGCTGAGAGACTCTAGTAATAATAATAATAATAATAATAATAATAATAATAATAATAATAATAATAATAATAATAATTAATGATAAGAATAATAAGAATATATTAATAAATCATAAATCAAATCATATGATAAAAAATAAATGAATAAACAAAATAATAATAATTTACTTTTATGTATCTTCTAAATATTGGAAAAAGAGCAAACCATTCAATAGCAAAAGACATGAGACCTGATACAAGAAAATTTGAATCATGCTCAAGGAATCTTGATGCCAATAATACTGATGCAAATATTGCAGCATTTGTTGATAAGGAACCTGGAAACCTAAACAAAAAAAAATAATAATAAAAGATACACATTAAGATTAAATTTTTAAGGTTAAATATAATAAATAATATTGTAAATAATAAGTAAGGATATTTTAATTACTTGATGTTTGTTCTATTATCAGATCCATAATCATGAAATAACATATTAGCAAGAAATAGGATTACAGTCAAAGCCCAAATTGTATCATTGCTAATAGTTTTCGTTAAAGTCTTTAAAATGGGTGATAATCCTAAAAGTGCAGCAAAAAATAACGCAAATCCTTTTGCTGTTCTCCATCCTATCAATAAATAAAATAAATAAAATAAAATAAAATAAATGTAAAATAAAAATAAAAATAAATAAAATAAAGTTTAAAGAATTAATTACTCTTATATTCATATGAAGGATCTGTCTTGGAAATACTTTTATCCCAGAATATATAACCTATAATAGTGAATACTGTTCCACCTATTATTAAAATTTGTCCTGAAAGAATTTTAAAGTATAGATATATGAAAACTGCTATAAATATCATAATACTGCTTATATGTTGTGATATAACTGTTGATTCCTTAACTACTGTCCAATAATCATATGTTCTAACATTCACTATTTTTTTAATATTATTAATATTAAAAAAATAAAATAATAAATAAATAATATAAATAACCAATTTTAAAAAGAAGATTGTTGTTGTTGTTATATTTACCATTTTCTTGTAATTCACCCAAAAATGTTATATCTACATAATTATCTGGATAATCTTGTTTTATCCATAATAATTTTCGCCAGGGAGCTTTTTTTGGTTCTTCACAAGTAGTAGAATTTGTTAGACTTTCCTAATAATGAAATATATGGAATTATAAACAAATATATATTTTGTATACAAGACAATATATTATAAAATTTAATTTATAATATTACCTTAATTGCCTTTCTATATATTGTGTATATATTTATGTTTATATATATATATATCAAATATTTTCAGAAAAAAAAATTTGTAAATTTAGTAAAAAGAAAAGATTACCTATCGAATCCACAGGAACTACATTTCGATTCCCCTTCTTGAAATTGATCACCGTCAACAGGACAATAATTAAAAGTTAATTGGGTCATTATTTTATTTTTTTTAAAAAAAAAAAGAAGTTTTAAGAATATGAATATTATAGTTTCACAATTTGTGGTACATTTAAGGAGTGACAAGCAACATTTTTTTGGATAAATGATTAACTGTTGATTTTCTCGGAAAAAAATAAAATAAAGAATGCGTATACTTATTACAGGAGCCTCCGGTCTATTGGGTCGAGCTGTTTACAAATATTTTAATGATTCGGGTCATCAAGGTTTCATTTTATTCGTATAATAAAAATAATTTTAATTTTTTAATAATTAATAAGTTATTATTTTTATTATTAGTACTTGGTTTAGCTAAAAGTCGTTTAAAGAATGGTTTGAAACAGGCAAATATAATTTTTATATTCTAATAATTCGATTTATATTTATATATATATTTATTTTTCTCATAATTTTGAATTTTGTAAATAAAATACAGTGTGATTTAATCGAAAAATCATCTTTAGAACCGATAATTCAAGAATTCAAACCAGATGGTTTTTAAAATTTTTATTTTTGTTTAAATTATTATTTTTTCAGTGAAATAAAAAGAATCTTTAATTAATTGTTATTATTATTATTATTATTATGTAGTATTAATTAATGCTGCAGCTGAACGAAGGCCTGATGTTGCTGAAAAAAATCGGGATGCAACTTTAGAGGTATTACTATTTCTATGTATTTTATGTATTTTATGTAAATTTTATATTATATTAATATTCGACTTATATATTTTTAGCTTAATGTGAATGTTCCAGCTAATATCGCTACATTTTCAAAGACCTATAATTTTTTGTTAATCCATATTTCTACAGATTATGTCTTTGATGGAAAAAATCCACCTTATAATGTTGACGATAAACCAAATCCTTTAAATTTTTATGGTATCAAAAATATTAATATATTTTATATGTTTCTTTTCAAAAAAAAAAAAAAAATTGATTTTTTTTTTTCTTTCAAATGATTAATTAGGAGAGACCAAATATCAAAGTGAAATTGCCGTCCAAAAAGCGAATTCTCAAGCTATAATTTTAAGGGTTCCAATTTTGTAATTAATATTCATTTATTATTCATTTATTCATTTGTCCATTATTAATTTCTTTATTTTATGAGAAATTAATTAATAGGAAATATTATTTATTAAATTTTAAAAAATTTAGGTATGGTGAAGTAGAATATCCAGATGAATCAGCAGTTAACATTTTATTGGAATCTGTCAAGGTTATTATTGTTACATTATTCAAATTTTTTTTTTTTTAGAAATTCTTTCTTAATATTGATTAGTTATCATGTCATCAATACTAACAATAGAAATAATAGGACAAATAATATAATCAAAATATAATAATAATTACTTTTTATTATTTGATTAATAGAATTCCACTAAACATGTTCAGATAGATAATTACGCAATTAGATATCCCACAAATGGTAATAATAATAACAATAATTATTATTATTATTTATTGATATTGTTTTTTATTGTCTGCAAATATTATAATTAATATAAATTTAATAATAAAATTTATTTAAAAAAGTTCAAGATGTAGCTAAGGTTATTAAGGAAATTTCAGGTAAATAAATGTAATATTATGATCTGTATATGTGTATTTTATTATTTATTGTAAATATTTTATTAAACATCACATTAAATAATTTTCATTTGTTTTTTTTATATTTTTATTAGAAAAGGTTATTGAACAAAAAGTTCAGATTTCTGGAATATTACATTATAGTGGAAATGAAAGTTTTACAAAATATCAAATATGTGGTAGGTTAATAATAATGATGATGATTTAGATTTATTTATTTATTTTTATATTAATTTTTATATCATATTAATTTTATTTAATTTTATTTTTTATATCATTATTTTTTATTATTAAGAGGTGTTTTCTAAACTTTTAAATATTCCAATTGATCACCTCAAACCAGTAGATTCTATTCCTACATCTGTAGCAGGTATTCATTCCAATTCATTCTTTATTGACTGTGTATATCATAATTTCTGATTTGTATAATAAAATTATCACAACTTCAATCTTTTAGTAAACCGCCCATATGATTGTCATTTGTCAACTGAAAAACTTTTAAATTCAGGAATTGATGTTAGTTGCATTAAATTCAATGACTGGTGGAAAAATTATCTAGGCTCTAAATTATTTATATAATTGACATTGATCTATTAGTTGTTATAATGTAATGAATTAAATATTATTGTCAATATTTCTTTATTAAAATGATTATTTAATACATTTAATACATTGAATATAATTAATAAATTATTCCTTGTTTCATCAAAATAATTAAATAACTAACAGTAATATTTACATAAATATATATATATATATTTATGATGCATAATATATATAGTAAAAAATATTTATTCTATTATAATTTACCCATGATCTTATCAATAGTCAATACAGGTGTAGGAGCTGGACCTAATTTCTTATTACTTTTCCATTTAACAATATCATCAACATATTCATTATCAGGTTTTAATTCTAATTCCAAAACATCTTCTAAGTGAACCTGAACCTTTGCATGATCCTCTACATGACCTTCGTCTGGATTTTTCATTGGTTTTTTTGGCATTTGCATCATTGTTTGAGGTGAAGAGGATATTTTTTGTGATCTCATGTGAATAGATAATTTCTTTTGATTTGGAGATGCTGGGTGAACAACATTTTTAAGAAATTCCAATACTTCGGATTTGGTAATTTTACGCAATTCGGCAACATCGATATTAACTAATTTTAATAATGTAAAAAATGTTATTTAAATTAATATTCATCATTCAATAAGTGCATTCCTTTCTTCATAAGTAGTAATAATAATAATAATAATAATATAATAATAATATTGATAATAAAAAATTACTTCTATCAAAATCATAAAGTCCAGATTTAATATGCTCCCAATATTCTCTTGATTCTTTATATAAATTCTTTGGCTTTTCTAATTTCTTAACTATAAGTGATTCCTTCTCTTTTTGATAATCTTCTTCTGTCATTTCCTCAATTATATTCTATAATATAAATATAATTAAGACAACATATATAAAATATAATTTTATATAAATTAAATAAATAAATTAATCAATCAAACCAGTAATTTATCCAAGAAAGCTTCAATTCGATTTTCCAAGTGGACAGTATCTTTCACACTTTGAATTATGAATCTTTATAAAAAAAAAATTTTAAATTAAAAAAAATTTTTTAAAAAAAAAAAAATTAAAAAAAAAACTTGATAATTAAAATTTAAACAAACATTTTAAAGAGTATTTACCTAAATCCCATAGATAAAATATCTATTCTCCATCCACTATGAGTCAAATACCCTAATTGTTCTTTAGTTCTAATTTGATCAAAATATGGTTCTTTGGTGATTTGTGCTAATAAACTTAATTTCGCTCTTAAATTTACATCCATTAAATCTCCCACTTGAACATAATATTCGATTGCCGAATTAATATCTTGTGAATCATATACATCACGTTGATAAACATATCTCTTTCCTGGAGGTAAAATTGTAGCTCGATCACTGATTAATTGAGAAGGGGACAAAGATTTTGATTGAAGAATATCTTCTACTATTTGATTTAATTTTAATGCTTCTTCTTTAAATAAATTTCCATGTGAAAAAGTTTCAATATGTAAGTAACTTAATAATTTAGGATAAAATTCTTGAATATCTTGTGAAGTTATATCTTTTAACGCTTCTAAACATTCTTCGATTGTCCAGATTTTAGAATGTGTCATGTAATAAATATGAAAAGCCGAGTGACTATAAGGAGGATTTAAAAATGAATTACGATAACCTCTTTCAACTTGTTCTTTAATTATCTCAAATCTTTTAGGATCAACTTTAAAATTCTTCATTTCATGAATAATTTTTTCTAATAATACTGGAAGTTTATCATTAAATCCTTGTAACGATATGATAATTCCTTCGTAGTTATTATTACCAATATTATAACTTAAACCTGCTAAATCAGCGTCATACGAATATTCGGTTAAAGCATCATTTAGTAAATCAATATATAATCCTGTTTTAACACTATGTGATGGAGTAGGATAAGCTAAAGGACTATATTTTTTTAAAAATTAAAGTTAAAAATTTCAATTCGTATTTCAATTAGAAAAGAAATCAACTAGTCTCTTTATATTTTTATAGAATATACCTTCGTAAAATGATTCTAACAAAAGCTTTTGGTACCCAAAATGTATCATCTTTTTTATGCCACACTTTAGTAAGTGGAGTTTGTTTAATTAAATAGGGTTGTGCAATAGGCTAATAAAAAAAGAAGAGAGGGAAAAAAAGAGAAAGTATTTTTTTTTTAATTTTTCTTATACGAACATCACAGAAATAAATGAACATATAAATAAATATGTATTAAATAATTCATACTGTGACAACTTCTTGCTTATGAGTTTCGAAATTCGTTGGAATAAATTCATTTCGAGGTGGAATTTTTAGTTCTGGATTACTGTCCAAATTTTTTAATTCCTATTACAAGTTATTACATGTAATTAAAAAGTAATATGATAAAAAATTTATTTTTTTTTGTTAATTCTGCAAAAGTTTTTATTTTTTTTTGCTTCGAAAAGGAAGAGGACGTGCATGTTAAATCCATTTACAAGGAGTATATGGAATTATTTTGATACCTCAAGAAATTTCGGATCAATTTTTTCAAGTTTATATTCTGTTCCAAACCATTTTTCTCTTTTATCTAAATCATTAAATGTCTGACTAATCAAAATAAGAACAAAATTATCGGTACGCAATAAATCCATGAAGTTCTTAATTAATTTTGGTTCATATTTTTTAATTAAATAAGGTGCTAATAATAAAAAGAAATTTTAAATGTAAATATAATAAATAAACATAATAAATAAATAAATATAAATAAATAAATATAATAAATAAATAAATAAATAAATAATAAATAAATAAATATAAATAATAAATATAAAATATAATGAAACGTAATGAATAATGAAATATAATAAATAATGAAATTTACCAGAAATAACACATTCACGTTTAGTTGGTAATTGAATATTTGATGCTAAAGTTGAAGCATACTTCGCCGGCGAACTTAGTTTTTCAGCGAACCTAAATTTAATATTTCGAATATCTTGATCCTTTCAATTTTAAATATCATAATAATTTAAAGAATTTAATTAATAATTTAATAAATAATTCATTCATTCAATATAAAATGAATAAAATACCTCGCGAAAAATCCATTCTTAAATGAAAAAAAAAATAAAATAAAAATTAGATATAAATATATATGTATTAGAAATTATCAATCCAAAAAATAAAATAAAATAAAATAAAATAAAATAAAATAAAATAAAATAATAACATAATAAAATAAAATAATAATATAATAATTACCTTGAATACTTGATTCTTGAATCATCTTAATATATTGAAAAACAACTTTTATTACTTCACGATAATTATCTTAAAATTAACAACGATTAATTAGATTCGTATTCACAAGTGTAATTATAAGTGTTGTGTTAATAAAGTGATAAAATAATTACCTAAACCTTCCGGAGTAAGTGACATGGTAGCTTTAAAGAAGGAAAAACCAATAGCTCCATCACCTGTACTAACATAAAATTTATTTGCCCATCCTAATCATCACATCAAAAATAAAATATTAATCACATAATTTCATAATTAAATCATCATTACTAATTTTAAGCATTATAATTTTTTTGAAGTTAACAAACAAAGAAACAAACAAACCTTTCTTTTTGAGATAAGACAAAATTGATCCAACACCTTCGTGTGAAATCAAATGTGAATAATAACTGACTGGCTATTTAAAATTAAAAAATTTAAAAATAAGTAATAAACAAATAATCAAAATAATAACAAATTTTATCATACTTTGGATTCATAATATTCTCTGGTGTCTGGAAGTGGCCAAACTATGTTTATATTTCGAATTTCTTTAATTGGCTTCAAGAAAACTTGTTTCTTTAAAATATAAAATGAATAATTTAATATATTTATAGTGTATAAAAATTATATAATATAAAAATAGATATTTATCTTTAAAAATAAATCAAATAAATAATAATTAATTACTTTTAATTCATTTTCGGTAAATGGATGGTCATTAAAAGTGGGTATCGGCAAATTTTTATTTTTTATATCTAAATATAAGAAAATTTTTTTTTTTAAAAAATAATTTTAAATATAAAATAAATTAAAAAAAAAAAAAAAAAGATATCTAAAATCTAATTTAATATAAAAAGTAATTTTACCTGAAAATTTTTCCACAACCCATTGAGTTAATTGATCCAATGATTCACATCCCAACACACATAATTTCATACAATTTGCTGAGTAATATTTATCATACCATTTTAAAAGTTCATCTCTCACATCAATTCCTTGTTCGATTGCATTATTTCCTAAAGATAATAAATTTCCTGAAGCAAATCGACTATATGGATGATGAGGATTGGATAATACACTTTTTAAAATTTGATTAATTCTTCGCCTATAAAAATCATTATTGTCAAATTGTCAAAAATAGTTAATGTCAAATAATAATAATAATGATATATTAAAATAATATAATCATATTGATTAATTTAAAGATTTTGATTTCTTACCCATCATCTTGCAGATTTTTCTTATTTTCTGGATTAATGAAATATTAAAAATAAAAATAAATTAATTAAATTAAAATATAAATTATCATAAAATTATTTCATAAATAAATCAAGACTTAAGAAATTAAAGATACCTGAATCTACAGCTTTTATTTCTCGATCTTTACAATTTGGATCAAACAAAGGAGATATAAAGAATTGAGAAAATCTAAATAAAAATAAAAATGTTATTATTATTATTATTATTATTATTATTATTATTATATTATTAATTTATTTATTATTATTATTATTTATTTGTTCAAAAAAAATGTACCTGTCAAGAGCACCTTCCAAATGTTCTTTACCAACTTCAAAATAAAAATTTGTGTTATCTGTTGAAGTGTAGGCATTGGAATGTCCAGCATTTTTAGATAAATACTAAAAATTATGTTTAAAATATATTTAATTTTAATATTATTTAGTTATATTCAATTATATTCAAGTATTCAATTAATTACCTCGTTGTATTCATTTTCTTTTGGGTACTATTTTTATATTTAATTAATTAAAAAAAAAAAAAAAAATTAAATTATAAAAAATTGAAAGATTGAAATCAATAAAATAATAAAATAATTGATACCTTTTTAGTACCCTATTTGAAAAAATAAAATAAAATAAAAAAAAATTAGAGAAACAAAATAAAATGAAATAAAATGAAATAAATATAGTGAGCATTAATTACCATAAACAATAGATGTTCACAGAAATGAGCTAATCCTGGTAAAGTATCCTATAGTTTAATATTTATTTATTTTATGAATTCAAATTTTATAAATTTTATAATTCAAATTTTTATAAATTTTATAATTCAAATTTTATAATTTTATTTAATTCTTTTTTTTTAAAAATAATAATAAAATAAAATTTACCGGATCACATAAATTTCCTACATGAACATCTAATGCTGCTCCAGATTTATCGGTATTAACATCTTGAATAAGTAATGCTTCTAAATCATTACTTAAGCGAATTAATTTATAATTTCTATCATCGTTATCGGATTTTTCTAAGGGTACTGTTAATACTGCATGTGAACCATCCGGAGAGATTTCAAAGTTGGGAGGAAGATTTGTGAATGCCATTTCATTGAGATTTTTTGTATTTGCTGTTGTTGTTGTTGTAGTTGAAAAGTTTGAAGAAGAATAATTATTTAAGAAATAATAATAATAATAACAATAAAAATTATTATTATTATTATAATTTAAGATTTTATAATAATAATGATTGTTATTATAGGATTTATTGGGAAAAAACGAAAAAGAATTTCGATGTTTTCGGGTGAAATTTTTGGTGGCGGTCAAGGATAAACCATTCCTTAAAAAAGAAGACATTTACTATTTATTAGTTATTAGTTATGACGTGTCACAGATTTTAAAAAGGCATTTTTTAGAACTGAAATGAAACTCAGAATTATTTTTAACAGAAAAAAAAAAATTCCATCTCGATAAAATTTTGGTGGAACATCAAGTAATCATCGTCTAAGGTTTAAATCATTGTTGGATGTAGTCATATTTGAATTTTCTTATATTTATTATAATTATAAATAAATCCTCAAATAATTCTTCAAAAATGGTAGCTCAAGTACTATATCAGTTTTCTTTATCATGTGGTATATATCAGAATATGGAGGAATTATTTCATAAAAAAACGAATATACATCAGCAGTTGTAAATTCTTTTCCACATAATACTTCAGGTGTAACGTACACCGAAAATATTATTCTTTTCAGGATTATTTGAATTTGACTCTAATAATTTACTTCATCCGAAATCTGATATATATATATATAATATTTTATATGCAAAATTATATTTCCAGGATCTTTTGTATAGTTTAAAACATATTCATGAATTTCGGGATCTTATATAATTCCCATAAAATCGAATTGATGCACATTCACTAATTCTTTGTTTCTAAATGAGAATTACCATCTAAATAATATTAAAATTAAATATATCGTTTTGTTTATTGAATCGAATAAAATTTTTCTAATCTGATTTTCAAAAATAAAAATAACATGGATGATTTTCCAACGGTAGATATTTTATTTAATATTAGACTAAAAAATCTTTTATATTTCGATGCCTACGTACTGTTCAAATATAACAAAAAGTCTCGTGATTTTTACACGTTTGGTTGAGGAAAAATTTAACAATTTCAGTTTTCGCACTGATTGTTTACGTAGTCCGTTTTGACGCCAAATTGTTGCCCGTTACACTATCACTTTACAAACCCTACTTATTCTTATAATAGCATATATTAATATAATTACATAATTTGATCTTATTTAACCCATTTTGCTTTTTCTTTTTTTTTTGTCATATAAGATTCTTCTCTATTTATTTGATTTTTTGACCATAGATACGGTGAGTTTTAAAATATGTGCGAAAAAGCTCGGTTTCTCGTACACAATCCTCGACGAGTGTATCGAACTCTTCGGGGCTGATTTTCATAAATTCTGCGAGTTGGTACTTAAGTGCTAGCCAATTATTTCGAAAGTTTTTTACAGCCTTTTTTTGATAAAAAATATTAATCAAAAAATGCACATGATAAAATGATGCGAATAAACGACGATAGGTATTAAAGAAATATTAAAAATATTACCATAGTACCCTTTTCACCACCCCATGTCCCAAGTTGACCATATCTTTGTAGATGAATAATATTAGTTATTTTGCCATTTTTCAAAAGAATCTCATCTACCTTTTCTCCTAATTAATATATGAAATATATGAAAGATTATGAAAAACATCAATAACTTAAAATAACGAATTAAATCTTCATCATAATAATAATTTAAATTACCTATCATTCCATCTACGCCACGGGCAGCACCAAGTGACATACCTAAAAATAATATGATCATAATGTGAATAAATAAAAATTGTATGAATCATGATGAACAATAATGGTTAAATAACGAACCACTATTGGCTATTCGCTTCATAAACGGGCCTTCGTTGACATTGTGGGCATCAACTTCACAAAGCTCAATGAACCCTCCGACCTTCAGGACTCGTACCATTTCAGGGATAATTTTTGGATCAGTTGAAACGGCGATTGAGCCATTACGAAAATGTACATAATCAAAGGTACCATCTGAAACATTTGATAAAAAAAATAAAAATAAAATAAATAAAATCAAAAAATAAATTTAAACTTGTGTATATATATGTATTAGAAACGCATGTAATATAAATAGAATAAAAAAAAAAAAAAATACCTGCAAATGGTAGACGAACTTTAGAATTGCATTGAACAAAACTTGCATTATATGGGAGGGTGGCTATTTTTCAAAAAATTTATAAAATTTTAAGAATTGAGAATTTAAATAATTGGAAATAAATAAATAAAGATATATATATATATATAATGATAATCTGAATTTATGACTTACAATAGGAAATTTTTTTAGAAGAATCTATTCCTATAAAAGTTGCTTTTGGGTATTCGTGGGCCACTTCCGTTAACCAAATTCCGTAACCGCACCTTTGATTAATTTAAATTATTATTATTAGATGAATAATTATTATTAAATTATTTTTTAGATTCGTTATTACTATGTAGATAAATTTAAATGTGATTTAATTACTTACTCTACATCAAGTACCTTCGCACTACCCGATGTAAGGATTTCTTCGACTGGCGCAGAAAAACACATTTGCCAAATAGATATAAGTAAGCGATGTTCAACCTTAAACCGTTGAATTTCATTTGAGTTATATTCTGCCGTATCGGCGATCACATCACCATCATCGGCAGATGGGATGTGCTTGGATAATTTTTCGTTATCCATATTTTTAAAAATCCTTTTGCATTGGGTAGAATTTTTTTATTATTATTATTTACTACGGTAATAAAGTAAATAACAAAAACGAAAAGAACGCGCCAATATTTTGGAATGCGGAAAACTTAAACCTTATATGCCTAAAAAATTTCAATATCAATAAATAATTCCTAGAAAAATTTAATACTTGTTTCATGGTACGCAAAATGAGATTTGTAATAAAAATATTTGTATATGAAAATAAATAATATACATTAATTCATGCATAAAAGTTATTATAAGTTACTATAAATTATTATGATAATAAGATACAAATATTATGTATGAAAGTAAAATACTTTAAAATTCTTTAAAATATTATTCTATTAGGAATACACAAATATAATAAATATCTTTGATGAAAGAAATAAAAGAAACATTAGAAAATCATTCTATAAAAGTTGAGAACTTGGTTTCATAATCAATGCTTAGGTGTTATTAATGTCGAAGTAGAATAAAGAACTAAATACGGAAAATCATTCAAAAAAAACAAATTTTCTGCTCATTTATTATTTCCCCGAAGAATCCGAAGAATGAAAGTTTGACATTAAATTCTTGTTTCACGTAGTTACACTAAAATTGTGATATTCTTACCAATTATATTTTATATTGCCATATCAGAAAATAAAATCTTTTTGACCCACATTCGATAATTTATTTCTGTATCAATGAGCACTTTTAGTAACTCATTTATCAATTTCGGCTTGGGAAAATAACGTGATGATGTCTTCTGGTCTCAATGTTAATATTTTGATTTGGTTTTGGTTAATTATTATAATCCGAAACGAAAATTTGATATTTTAAAATTCACTTTCGAAAAAGCTTTCGTAAAAGAACAAGAAAAAAATTTTTCAAATTTTTAAGGTTGCATAATTTATTTACTCAGGGACAAAGAAATTACCTAATTATTACACCAATGCATAAAAATTTTTAAGGATGGTATATAAAATTAACGTCATCAACCTGTACTTTGGGTATAGGACCTTACCCAAATTCTTAATTGTGACAGGTGATCAGAAAAATTCACGTGGGAGGAAAAAAATATATTCTTTGTCCCAAAGGACATAAGCCTGCAATTAACATAAGGCACATACCTGGGTTAAGATTCTCCAGTCTGATTTCTTTCACATGTCAAAAAGAAAAAAACTCAAGTAAATTATATCGTTATATCGCTTACGAAATATGTTATAGCAAGAATCTTTACTTTTTCCTGTAATTTTTTAATAATGTTATGTAAGCAGATAAATTGGTTCTTTTTTATACTCACATGGTAATTTAAAATTTACATATTTTTATGTACAAATAAAATTTGTTTAATAATAATAATGATAATGATAACTAAATTAATTAATCAAGGATCAATTAAGTTTGATGATCCCTAAAATTAAAAAAACAATGTTATTATATTGCACGTGAATAAATAATCTGGCAGTTTCAAATCTTATTATTAGTGTAAACAAATATTGTAAATCGAAATGAAATTATCAATCTCTTTATAGTTTCATACTTTATGAATTTTTTATGCATTAGTCGTTACTTTTTTCTTATTGACAAATAATTAAGAATGTCGTAACACAACGTCATATTACATGTTATCTCTTTTTTATCTCTGATATCTATCTAGTTAACCGAAACAAGTTCGTAACTAATCGGTAACTATCAAATTAAGTAATTGTAATATGGAGTATAGAAGATTTGTTATCTATACCTTTTTATTTTTTTTCTTTAATGTATTCAAAATGCAAAAGATTTTTTTTCGTAATTTTCTTCATCTAAAGTACTTGTAACTATCGTACAGTATCAATTACTAAGAATATAGTACTGCGGATACTGCGAGTACTGCGAGTAACATCTCAAAAAATAAATAAAAAAAGATAAGAATACAAAATTACTATCTAGAAATGTAATGAACGGATTTTCTTTTATCGAGTATATAATGGGGATGGTGACAGGTAATAGGTGACAAATTTGGATTTATAATAAAAATTGATTAACAAAGGTGACAAATTTTTGCCCCTGAACTATCCCTGACCAATAGACCTTACCAAATGCGACAAAACAACAAAATTCACAAAAACATATTACATTATGTAATATCCGAAAATTAACAAGGTAATCAATACAATATTGGAAGCCAATCCTTTAACGTCCGTCATTTCATTTGAAATTATTTCTAGCGGCTGCGGCTGTCGTACACTTCTTGGTAAATTGAATTTAACCAAAATTGGCATAACCTTTTTTTTTTGTTTAATAGAAAGTAACATGACATGACACCACTGGCTTTTATAATAAAAAATAAAATAATTGGCTCAAATGATAATACTTGATTTTTTTTTTTGTGTAAATTTTTCACTTTTAAAAGAATTTATTAAAAAATATAAAATAATAAATTTTTAAATTAACATTTGAATAGTTACATTTGTTAAGTTTATTAGACACGATATACTCTTAACGAAAAAAAATAAAGCAAAGTTTGTACCATGAGAAAACATTTAACTTAAACTAGCATTTCGTAATGAAAACCAACATCTATATCTATTGAACAATGTTAATTAATCTTCTAAACTGGAATGCTTTAAAGTATTATTAAAAAAAAAACAGTCACACTTTATTTTATGAATTAAACTATTCTTTATTGAATCATGAAAGAGATTGAAAGTAAACAATAAACAAAGTTAATCTGTCCCACCAACCAAAAGATTCTTGATTTGATTAAATTTTACAGATAGGGATTATTATGAATGAATCAAGCAGATGAAATATTCAATCATCATCACGGAAAGTCCCTTTATTTACTATAAATATTTTTATGTTGTGACAATCAATGACGAGATTTTGTATATATTATTAACATCTTTATTCTTTAGAATAGAATTTTTGTTTAAAGTTGTTTTCGACAACAAATCTTTATTTAATCTTTTTTTTTATCCGGATTTCGTTGATCACGCTGACTCTAATTTTTACTTATTTATAAAATCAAACTGGTTTTCTCGTATCAAAGATGATGATGTGCATTATTGATTTTTTCCCCACTAGAAAAAAAAATCTTTTTTATGATGGAATGTAATTTATCCATAATTTTAAATGATAACACCGAGAAAGTTATTTATATTATTTTTAATAATACGTAAATATCACTTCAGCCTAAAGAATATTAGACAGTATATCATTTATAGTAAATTTTTAATTTGGATCACTATATATAGAAAAAAAAAGAACAGTTGTTTTGTTTGTGAGTATCAAATCGTAAACTTCCTAATTTTGTTATTATTCACCAATAAAAGTTGCAGTTTACGTACATTCCACATCACAGGTTATCACAAGACCTCCCACAACAGCCGCACTGGACATTATTATAATCAAAAAATAATAATGCAACATGTTAAACAACTTCAAGGTTTTTGGTTAGTTCGATTATTATTATTTTTCTATGAATCCATTATTATCTTTAAATAAATATAAATAAACAAATAAAATATATTAAGGCTGAACAGGTTAATAAATCTATTTATTAAAATGAATTATAAGAATTAGAAAATAAAATAATTCATGTAAAATGGTTTCATCTACATGTGAAAAGTTGTTGAACCACTGAAATTTGTTAAATCTTTTCGTGATAGTAAAGATCTGCTATCGTTAATGTCCAATAAAATAAATTTCTTTATCAAGTACCAAACAAAAGTTTCTTAATAGATATCAAAGAAATCATATTGGCTTGAACCTTTTTTTTTAAAAAAAAAATCGCTAACCGTTTTATTTATTCTATTGTGTTTTTCTGTATCACCATCTTATAGAAACGCCTTTACTACCCTTTTTAACGTGAGAATTTTTAATTGTTTGTTTCCATCTTTTTCATAGTAAAGATCTGTCAGTATTTTAAAAAAAAATGTTGTGCACCAATAATTTAAAATTTAGGAATTTATTTTATTATGAAATTTTATGAATCAAAAATGTATCTATTATGTATCTATTATGTATCTTTACGATAGATTAGGTAATATATTTACTTACGTGTTACGCGTGCATAGATCACAATCAAAGAAATTTTTAATTATAAAAGACCCCCTTACTCGTATCTATTACTAAGATAAAGTTTTCATTGAGTATTACTTGTCTTCTTTACATTCAAATTTTTACAAAAAGTCCTTCCACTACAAAAAAAAATTTTTCAAAGTTTTGTTTGAGTATTCTTTTTTTTAAAAAAAAATTTCTTAAGTCTTATTCGGGTTTAATTTTTCGTTTCATATTTTTTGCTTCATATCAAACAAATTATAAAATAATGACAATGTTTTCGGTTATTTCAAAATGTTTTAATCCAAGAAGTCTTAATCCAAGAAGATTTTTAACGTTTAATAAAAACAGGGATGGCATTTCGAAACCAAAACCCGTTATGACAACCCTAGTCCCTCCAGATTTTGAAAATGAAGGCAACGACAACACTAATACCACTTTAAAAATTGTTGAACTTTTAAGTGAGGCCGAAGAATATCTTAATACTCATGAATACACAAGAGCCATTACAGTTCTCCAACACGCTACTCAATGCGGTTCCGCAACCGCGGCAGCAAAACTAGGAATAATTTATCATGGTGGCATTAATGATACCATCCCTCCTGACTATGCCTCAGCTGCCGTATATTATCTTTTTGCCCTTAAACTTATATATATGATTCCCTGTAACAAATGGGATATGAGTCTCGTTCTGGACGTCATCGCCGGCCTTTCGGAACTATATAGATTCCAAATGAACCGTAAAAGGGACTGTGATATTTGGAATCATGGCATTAAAGCCATGAAACATATTGATCAAGCATTACAAGACCCTCTCGCCACAAAGTTTTTAAGTCATAAAGAAATTCAAAAACGCAGGGCAATAAGGATCCATATTGCTTATTGTCTCGGCTTAACCGCTGAGGCTGATAAAGATTTCTCTACGGCATTAACGGCATTTCAAAATTGTCAAAAATTTGGGGATTGCGGTTTTAATACCGCTGATAAATTGGTCAAGAAATCGCACACGAAAGTTCGAACGCTTGAACCTCAGGTACCTAGAGTAAAACCCGTCTGTGTTGAATGCCAATACGAGGCCAAGGAATTAAAAGATATTTGGACACTGCTAGTATGCGCCAAATGTCAATCAGTTGCCTGTTGCAGTAAAGCTTGCCTAACAAATCATTTATCCACCCACCATGAAAATGAAGGTGAAGACAAGAAAACTAAATAGAACATATAGAACATATATATCTTCTCTAGAAAAAAAGAATAATCATAATTTATTTGTTTTATTATTTCTCCCGCGTAATTTTTTCTTACCTGTAAAAGTTTTTTATTCATATTAATATGTCATATAAGATCCTTACTTTTTGTAACGTACTAATGTTAATATTTTTGCGAAAAAATGTATATATAATATTAATGCTTAATAAATTTCTACTTTTTGTTTCTTTTTACTTAGTGAATAAAAAAAAATTTTTTTTTTTTTTTGTCGCCAGTAATCAATTTCTTTCTAAATATGGCTAATCTCAACTGCGGAAGGTGAATATAAACTTGCCAGTAATATATCTATAGATAACGCAAACGAAATAAAATTCATGTACAGAGAGAAAATCAACAACAAAGCAGAATCTTATTCCATGTCAAAATTTCTTTAATTTATTGTAATTCTCGAACCACAGCAACACATTTCACACCACGCGACCAATAAATAATTTGGTTGCGTAACAAATATTTTTAATTCGAAAAAAAAGTACCCCTGAATTAACCATTTTTAGAATTTTATTGAATTTATTAAGAACTAAATTGGTTATTTGAAATAAACGACGTAACATATTGAGAAATTAACCACTTTATTTGGACATGTAACCCGAAGAATTAAAAATTCGAGATATTATTATGTGCCACAATTATATTGAATTAAAAATTTGAATTTTTACAAAGTATTGATACAAAATAAATTATTTACGAAAAAATTTTCGTTCTTTTTTCTTTTTTTGCCATCAAAATATTATGAACAGAATGTTCCGTCTTTTTTTCTAATTCTCATGGAATAAACTGGAACTTTTTTTTTTGTGGAGAAAAAAAAACATACGGATAAATTGTTCATTTGATAATTGCTCATTTGATAATAAAATATTTATTCAATAAAATTACTACTTGTTCCCAGTCGAAAATCTAATTAAATGTGCCCTTATTTCATTTCCGAGAATTTCGATAACTTCTCAATCGGTTCGGTTTAAACCTAAACTGACCGCCGGTTTCGGTTTATTCATAAGAGTCCGAACCGAAAAACATTAATTTTAATCGTCACATATTATTTTTTTATTTTTATTTTTTAAATTAGTTTTAAAAAATATTTAAAAAGAGAAAATTTATTCCTCACCCAGGTGAGAATCTCACATAATTGTCACTTAGCATCACATTATTTTTCTCATTGTTGTCACCTGAGAGCAATCTCACCCAAGGTGAGGAATAAATATAAAAATAGTTTTTTTTTTTTTGTTAAATTTTGTATTTGTTTTTCATGAGATTAACTAATATTAAAATATAATATTTAAACCGAATATAACCGGTTCAGTTTACTTTTATGTTATTTATTTTATGAAACACCAGTATTAAAGGAAGATGTGATTTGGAAAATGCTATACAATGGACCCTTCTACAAGCACACCCCATAAAAAATTTGATTATAACCATATAGAGGGTTTATATTGTATTACTAAGTATTGGTCCTTATGAAAGGTGTACTTATAAGTGGGGATTTATATGATGTGGTTGTACAGGGGGTGACTATCTCTTAAACCGTCTAGTGGGCAAATTTGCACGCTAAAACGAGTGCATGTGAAAACTGACGGTTAGGGGTCCACTGTATATAATTTTTTTTGTTTCGGATAAATAAATTAATATTATACTATTTGAATTTATTATTTGAAGAACTTCAACTGAAAAAAAGAATCCATAAATATTAAAATTGTTGAAAACAAGGTGAAAATTCTTTTTTTTCTTTATAATTATTTGGTTTTGATCTATTATAATTTTTTAAAATCTTTCATGACTTGCATGACTTGTGAAAATGAAGAAGAAATAACAAATTATGTAAAAATTATAAGCCTGTAAGAGCATTTATCCGAAGGAGAGGTTGAATTTTTGAATTTCAAATAATGCACATTATACATCATCAAAGCGATTGAATTTAGTCAGAAAAATTTGGGATTGAGTCAAAATTATTGATGTGATACAACTATATTTCATTAATTGAATCAAAGTATAATAAATTTGAAATTTCATAGTAACTAGAAAGACCAGGACGTTATCACGCTATTTTTTTAGTTGGATCTCCTGATTTTCTACGTACTATAGAAATCGTAAGTTTATTTGCTCCAATTGATATCATTGTTTGTCTTGTTACTCCTATCGCGCTATTTCATTGTTTTTCTTGAGTCACCAATAATACAACTAAGAATATAAGACACAAAGATGTAAAGTATCAAAATGTGCGATGTAAAGATGTAAAGTGTCAAATGTGCGATGTAAACAAATATATCAGAAGATAACACAAATCCTCTACTATATAAATCTTTGTTATTTTATTTTACAAAACCTCCTTAGGAAGTGGAATCAATGTCATAATATCGAAGTGACTTTCGCCTTTTTTCAGGATTGATTATCATAGCTGATAATCGTCTTCCGGATATTCAAGAAGGGTGGCCTTTGGATTTCGTCACTTCTGTTCTTGCTTATGCCCAAATTAGGGGCTATGAGCTTCTTTTATTGGATCATAACTAAGAATCAGCCCACGAAGTCCGAGGAATTTCGTGTAAATATGTCTCTAAACACAGTATCATTTCAAATGCATGAATAGAGCAATTTCTGGTGAGCATCCTTTGTGGTTAACCTATTTAGATGACGGTGGTGAATTAAATGTTTCAAATGTGAGAATTGTGTAGTTTTGATAAAAATCTGATGAGCCTTGTCCTGATGGATACAAAGAAAAGAAGCGCGAGAATAGACTTGCTGTGATGTCAGTATATATCATTATATGCTTAAGACAACACATTTCTTTTATTTTAGGGATAGGAAAAAAGAATGGGAGGAAGGAAGAAGAGAGTTATCCTTATGGAAATAACAGAAGCGCGAGGATATTCTTGCTGTACTAGTATGTTTCATGATATACTTAAGGCAGTTCATTTCTTTTTTTAGGAAGGATAGGAAAAAAGAGGTGGAGGAAGGTAGAAGAGAATGGAAAAGAAGAAGTGTGCTATGTATGTATTAAACCATTATTTAATTATCTTTTAAAATTAGAAAATATGTAATACTAACTTAACTGAAAGCTTAGTTTATTTGTTATATACCAAATTTATTGAAAACAAAATTGTCCTTTAAATACGAAAATATACTAAAAAATAAAATATTTCGAAAATAATTAAGGCACTGGTGATAAACTTTACATATATAGTCCTAGTTCTAATTTGCTTTAGGTAAAAATTTCGCATGTAAAATGGTTATGATTGTGGTCATTATGAAAAACCACAAACAAATCTTTTTCTTGATTGTTGATTTAAGATTATTAAGAAAATATTTTTGTTCAAATTTTATTAAATTTCTTTTTTTTTTGATAAAAAATAAATGATGATTTGAATGTAATCATTGAAGTTGAAAATAAGGAAAATCTTTTATGGCACTTTCTAATATATTAAAATACCAATCGTAAAGGATTATGAAATATTCGGTCTAAAAAAATAATATAAAGTCAATTAAATTTTTGTTGTCATTCTTAAGTTATTATCAATAATAAAAAATACTAAAAATTTACTTTAAATATTATTTATTTGTATAGATAGATAGATAGATAGATTTATGAAGAAATTATTAATTTTGAGATTATTTGCAAATAAAAATTTGAGATTGTCATTAAAGTGTGCGGGAGAATCTCCGAAGAAATTTTCTTACATTAAACATTACATTACGACAGCAATGCCATATACATATAAAAAGATTCTTTTATAAATAGCTTTGGAAAGATATCAATTAGTGAGATCAGTTTTAGTTACAGACTTTATCTTTTTATTATTAATAGAAGTCAAAAAAACAATAATTATTTTTGATAAGATGATAAATGCAAAAAAAATATATATATATATATTTTTTTTTAATAAATTATTCTCAACAAATAAATTAAAATAAACAAAAAAAATTAGTAAATAAAGAAAAAAAAAATATGCCATGAATAAAATGTATCTACAATGATCATCCAAAGCTCATACTCACATTATCATATTAAAATATGTTTAGAATCTATTTAAAAAAAAAAAACTTAACTCCTAACCAAAGATGCAAAGAAAAAAAAACATCTAATCATTTGTATTATAATATATATATCTATCTATCTATCCGGAGAGAGATATAGATAATAATATGAAGAATTGGAAAAATTGTTTATATAATTTATATAATCATGATATTAAAAAATTATTCTCACTTGTATGAGAAATTACCCACACCCCACCAACAAATCCTATCACGAACAATATTAAAACACTAAACAATGTAATTTCAAATTCAATTCCTAAATTTTTCAATATCTGATAATAATTTATTTGATTTAAGTAAAAGTTATTATGATAGCAATAACAGCAGAATTGACAAAATTGACAGAATTGTTGTGGATTTTTTTTTTGTTGTTGTTGGTGATGTTGATGTTGTTGATGTTGTTGTTGTTGTTGATGGTAGTAATAGTATTCATGTTCATCATAATCATGAAGATCATAATGGATTACTGGAATGAAGATGTCATAAGACCTAGAAAGCGTGAACAAGAAGTGTGAAAAAGATGAGAGATTTGGATAAAATATTTTCAAATTGAAAGAAAAAATAAAATAAAATAAAATGAATGAATGAATGAATAAATGAATGAATGAACGAACGAATGATGAACAAGTGAATGAATTTTGTATTGAATATTTTACATATTTTACAAAGTAAATTACAAAAAAAAAAAAATACAAAAAATAGCAAAATAAAAACAAAAAAAAAAAAAAATACAAATACAAAAAAAAACAGCACAAAAAAAAAAAAAAATACAAAAAAGAAAACAAATAACATCACAGAATGACTATAAATTGAAACTTACTTTCAAGGTGTTCTCCATCATCGGGTCCTACACCAGTATATACAATATCCGATCTTCCCAAAGCTTTGATTTCAGACCTTCTTTTGTTAACATAAAAATATGCCAATCCAATATATGACACGATGATAAAAATGACCCAGGTGTATAAGAGAAATACTAATGTCTTTCCAACATTATATTCTCCTAACCCAAGAGTAATTTGAACGAACCCAAGAAGTGCAATTATTCTACCCCACCACCTATATAAAAATAAAGATAATTATTTTTAACCCTACGCATATAAAATAAAAATAATATATAGATATAAATATTCTAGATTATAATTTCCTTACCAGTGAAGTTTTGTCCACCAAGGAATATATTTACGGGATGAATCATAAAGTTTATGATGAATCCACCCAAGTGTAAGTTGACCAAAGAATAATCCAATCAAAATAACTCCCAACATCTTTAATAATAATAATAATAATAAAATATTAAACGTTTAATAACTTATAAATAAATAAATAATAAAATACATAATGAAATAATTTCGTAAGAAACTCACTTCATGAGTGTTTCCTGGATTAAATTTGACACCTGCTCCAATGGCCAATAATAAACCAATGACAAGCAAAGGTGCAGCCAAGAAAAGTTGAATACCCCAATGTAAACGGAACCATCCTTGTGGTATAACATTTCTGGCAAATCGAGCAATAAAAATTGCACCAGGAACAATTAATCCCCAAGTCAAAAACATTATTAATCCTATTAAAAAAGTTCATTAATAATAATACAAAATAATATAATCCCAAATAATAATCCCTTAATAATTATTAAATTACCATGTGAAATAATGTATTTATCATAAGTTGAAAGACCACCCGTCAATGTGATACGACCGATTGAATCGTGTTTAGCAATTACCGTAGTAGAAGGATTATCTTCCGGACGTGTAGTAGATTGCATTCCCCAAATAAATGCAGTAGTTGAAGAAGTTACAGTTGAATTAACAACAGTAGCTGGACGACTGAAGGATACAATAAATTGTCCATTGCTAACACCACTTGATGTATCTACTGTTATATCACTTTGTGAAGTTGTTACAGCGGGGATTGAATATGAATAAGCGATACGTTGTGAAATGGCCACCGTATTTGTGGTAGTTGGCCATGCCATCTTTTAATTAATTAATTAATTTATTTATTTATTTATTTATTTATTTATTTATTTATTTATTTTAAATCCATAATAATAATAAGTTAAAGTAAAGTTGATAATAAAAATTCAAAAAGATAAATTTACTTAAATTACTTACCACCATGTAGCTACCGATCATAGAGCTGCCGATACCTACTGCGATCCATCTATTTTATTGTGTGTAATTTAATTAATTAAATAAGAAATATTCGACTCGAATAATTCAATAAATCGGAAAAAAAAAAAGAGAAAAAGAAATTTTACCCAACAGTTGAAGGTGCAACCATTTTAAATTTCACTACATCACTTGAAGATGAAGGAAGTGTAATCGTAATACAAAAAGTTTTTTCTGTATTACAATTTGTGGTTTGAGAAGCAAAGACACCATCTAAAAAATAAGAATTGAAACGTTAATCAAAATCAATTGAAACATTTAAAAAACATTTAAAATACAAATATCAATTTTTTACCTTGCAACAGTAGGAAAATCATAAACAATGATAATAAAATATTTGATCGTTTCTTCATGACGTGTATTATGAAAACTTGAGGAAAATAAACAAATAAAAAAGTTCTTAACGAAAAAAAAAATAAAATAAAATAAAATATCGTCAAGGTTTCCTTTTTCACACTTCTTTCTTTTTAGTTGACCTTTTATTATTTTAATAATAAGAGAGGAATGAACAGAAACAAAGAGAAAAGGCCAGTTAAATGAAACAGATATTTGGCTGTGTCAAATAAAATAATATTTTAAGTGCACACCGAGGAATCAAGGAAGAGGCTTATGAATGAGGCGAAATTTTTTTTTTAAATTTATTTTGGCTTATAATAATATTTATTGTTTATTATTTATTAATTAATTTATTGGATACTTTAATATTTGTATTGTTACTGTCATGTATGCATGACATTGTGAAATGTAAATTAACATCTCTACGCGATTTCTAATGTTATTGTATTAAGAATAAGTTATGATCTTTTGAAATGTAAAATTAGGCATAACCTTTTAGCAAAATTATTATTTAACCAGATATATACTTGGGACTTGTTGATTGGATAAAATTCATAAATGAACTGCCATAACTGCGGGATATAAGTGGCTTTTGATTTCGAGATTCTTCCTTTCATCTCGTTGAGCTAAACTTGTCACTTTCTTATTTATCGAAAAACCTTTTGTTATTTTACTTTTGAGGCTTGTCTCATTGTAAATTATTCAGGTTTTACATGAGCCGCAACCGATTATAAAAAAGGAAAATTGGTGATCAGACCTTAGATTTGCAATATATTGAAAATATTTGTAGGAACGAAAAAAATTTTATTATAAAATAAGCGATTTGGAATATTGAACTTTTTTAGTCTTCAATTACAATTACTACTTTTTTTTTTTCTCGAATTACTTTCAATTACTTTTTTCATACATAACATACACATTCGAATATTCTGATTTAATAATTGTTTTGTTATCTCGATCATCGATCTATATTTTTAAAAAAAAACTTGTATTATTTATTGACATTTTTGCATTTTAGTATTTTTGTAATCCTTTTCCACATGCAACTAGTCAGTCATTTCTTTATATGGACTTTCTTTGAAACTTTTAGAAATTTTATGTAAAATAATTTGTAAACGACGGATATACTGTACATATGAATATACGAGAGTATTAATAATATATAAATTATTTGCCAAAAAAAAAAAAAAAATAATATATTTCTCGCATGGCGAAAGGGAAAAATTATAGAAATAATGAATTTATGCGCGTAGTAAATTGTTACAAGAAATTAGAATGAATAAATAGAATGAAGAATGATGGTAAATACGTGACCTCGCCATATGATCTAGGTACCATTTGTACTATTTTTACAAAAATAGTAGCTGGTAACTTATTTATTGACATTTACGGGTTTATGTATGTTTATTTGCGCGAAAATTTTTTTAATTTATTGATCAATTTATAAATTTGTAATACACTTATTATATTATGTTGAATTATTACAAGTTTTTTTTTTACAAGTTTTACTGGTTTCTCTTGATCTTCATTATTGTTGCTATTATTATTGATATTATTATTATTGTTGTTTCAAATTTTGAATTTTAGAGAACGACAGGTTAAAGTGTTGTCATTTTCAAGACAAAAATTCCTGATTCATTCGTGTGAAAATTATTATTATTATTATTATTATTATTATTTTATTAATAACTTATCATGAGGAAATCTTTTTTTTTCAAGTTATGCAGTTATCTGTTATAAATTTATTAAATTCATTAAAATTTTTACTAATGCATAACGGTAAATTAAATGAATAAATTAGATTAAAATAAATTAATAAATTATCATTCAAATTTTAGAAATAAATGACGATTGGTTTTTTTTTTCGAATTTTTATCTCAAATATTCCAAATCTATGAAAATGTTTATTTATTTCATTTAAAGAAAACAATGATACTTTTTTTTTTTTGTATTACCTAATTTATGTTAGATATTTATCGGGATCAATGAGATTTTTATTCATTGTTTTCCATATTTTTCAACATTGCATAATTTATATATTTTGAAACAATTACATGTGTAATAGTTGTATAAATTTCGATCATGCCTTTTACATTTATTTCTTTAGTACCACATTATTATTATTATATGTAATACAAAGATGATAGATCGAATTGATTTCTCTTGTATTCTCAATTTAATCAAAAAGGCTAAAGAATTCATAATTTTTATAGAGAGATATATATAAAAATGTTAACAAATTTAAAATATGTATCCCTTTGATTATTAAAAAAGAAATTTCAAGTTTTTATATATATTTCAACTGCATATATCTATATTACGAATTCGCATGTGCATTAATTTGTGCTATTTTTATTAACATATACATGATCAAATAATTATTTTAGAAGAAGAATGGAATGTAATTAGCAATAATTAAAGATACACAAGAAAAATTCTCTTCAATAAATAGTAATAAGAATTTTTAAAATTTCACTCGAAAAAAAAATTCCTATATAAGTGTCCATGATTCTTCTCTCGTTTCATTATTATCTTCTAATATTCTTTTTCTCAAGAATAAAAAAAAATTCTCTCAAAATTATAATAATAAAAATTATCTCAAAAATCTAATAATTATAATAATAATATAATAATAATATCAAAATTCTCTTAAAAATCTAATAATTATAATCATAATAATAATTTTTCCAATTTCTAATAATAATAATATAATCTATAATATTCCGTAATATTCCGAAAAATGAAATTCTCTTATACAAATTCTTCTTCAATCACTCTCTTGGCATTCACGTTATTCTTATTATTTAACATTTTCTCATTCATCATTGTATCCGAATCTGCTCCTGTGCCTCAAAAACGTCCGTCTGATAGTAAATTATTTAATATTTATTTTTTATTTTCTTTTATATCATATAATTTTTATTTTCTTCTTTGATATTAATGATTATAAATTGTTATTGTTTATTTATTCAGGTGGTGATAGGTATTCAAGATTTTCCACTTCAAGATATGATCCTGGTACTGCGGAATAACAATTCAATTTATTCTTCTAATTATTATTACGTTATTACATTAAATTAATTATTTATGTATTAGTTTATAAAATTATTATGTAAGAAATAATTTTGGTTTCAAAATTTCTTTCTTAGTTTCTTTCTTTGATTATTGTGCTATCCTTTATGAATCAATAATAAAAACGCAACCATAATTAGTAATAAAAAATGATGATCCTTTCTGTCTTTCCATATGAATGATCTCATAGTGATGTAATTATACAAATCTGGTAACAATGCCTTCGCACCAAAAAAATGCTGCGTCAAGAAATAAAATACAGTTTTTGATTAATTCAAAAAGATATATAAATAAATACAGTTTTGATCAATTCAAAAAAAAAAAATTTTTTTCCATATATCTTTTTACTAGAGTATTTAACTTAATTTAACTTGAAAAAATAAAACAAACATCATTCACAATAATTTTTTTTTTAAAAAAAAAATGGAACAAGAATATTTAAGACCTTTTTATCAATTGCTCTCAAATAATCAATTACAATCTGCTCTCACAGCATGGCTTCCAGAGAAACTTCAAGATTACCTTCCTGGAATAATGGCTGTCGATATGTTCATTACTTCATTTGTTGCCGCAGCTATTTCTACCATATTATATGGATTATCCAAATCAATTTTGTCAATTTTCTCCTCTGGTATATCGTTTCAGAAAGGAATTATAACTATGCAAATTGAGTATTACGTTGAAAGTGTTTTTGGTGAAGAGAAAAATAGACTTTATGAAGCTTTGGCATGGTTAATTTCTCAACAAACTCAAGACCTTCGTAAAGGAGGGTTCCTCGTGCAACCAACCAATGCACTCAAATCGTATGAAGAAATTGAGGATGTTTGTTGTCCTCCTGGATTTAACGTATTACCCGAGAAAAATCAAAAAATTGAAATCACCTATAACAAACGAGTTTTTAATGTTGACCTTAGAATACCACCAGATTCTGAACAAACGATTCATAACAATGAACGAACTAATTCCAACAATGGTCTTTTTGGTTTTGAACGAGTAAATAGAGGAAACAAAAATCAAAAATTGAAACCTTCAATTTATTTATCAACCGTTAGAAATTCTAGTGATAGTGTTAGAGCTATGTCCGAATTTATAAATGAAGTTACGAGAGCTTTTCTGGAAAAACAACTCGAATTAAAGAAAAGATCAAGATGGGAATATAATGAATGTTGGGAATATGTACAAGCTTTACCCACAAATCGAGGGTTAGATACTGTAGCATTAAATGAAGAATATGAGGAATTATTAAAAAAAGAATTAAATGCATTTGTAAAGAATAAAGATTTTTACGCAAGAATTGGGATTCCTTATCGACGTGGAATTTTACTTCATGGAAAACCTGGAACCGGAAAAACGAGTTTAATAAATGCCATATCTTCCGAACTTAATCGAGATCTATATTTCGTTAATTTAAAAAATGTTAATAGTGATGAAGAATTAAGTAACATGTTTTGTCAAGTTCCTGCTAATGAAATTATTGTTCTTGAAGATATTGATACCCAATCAACGGTAGTTCACAATCGAATGTCAATAATATCAAAAGAAAATGAAGATAACAATAAAGATAATAATAAAGATGATAAAGATAAAGATAACAAAAATAAAAATAAAGATTATGGTTCTGGATTCAGTCTCTCAACATTCTTATCATGTTTAGATGGTCACATCTTAGCTAGAGGAAATATAATAATCATGACTACGAATCATCTTGAAGTCATTGATCCTGCTTGTGTAAGAGCTGGTCGAATGGATTTAAAACTAAATTTAGGTTACGCGACTCATTATCAAATTAACAAAATGTATCGAAGCGTTGTCGAAGATCCCAATGTGGAATTTCCCAAAGACATAATGAATCAAATTCCCGAACGTTTATTACCACCTTGTGAAGTTATGATGTCTATGGTATTATATCGAGAAGAGATTGACTTGATACCTAAGAAGATTTTGGAATTGGTTGAAAAATATAAAAACATGAATCCCGAAGAAATTGAAAAATATATTTCCGATTTAAATGGTATTCCCCATTATGATATTTCAAATATCTCCACGAAAAGTTTAACAATGGATGAAATGTTTGATAAATCTGTGCGGCAGTATCGTACTAGTCGTACTAGTCGTACTATGAGAGGCGCGCCAATGATCCCTACCCCATTCCCCATGAATCGTCTTAATAAGAATTTATCTAATCGGTGGTAGAAAAATAAATAGATTTTTTTTTTTTTAAAAAAAAAAGCATAAAAAAAATAAACACATACATATATATATATATCATATAGCATTATATTTCTTCTAGAATATATAAATAAATTTCAATTATCCAAGTACAATCTTCTATTTGTTCTTAAAAAAATGTTCTCAATAAAACGTACATCTTCGATTTGAATTGATAAACAACTATAATCAGCCCCGGAAAAAGAATTATAATTCAAAGTCTCGTTAATTTGCTTCCTATTACTATATGAAATTTATTTAATTTGGTTTAAATTTTACTACCTTTTTTTTATTGTTTAAAAAATATTACGTATTTCATTTTTTTTAACATGTCAAAAGTTAGTGGTCCGATTCAGATATCATTTATTTATCTGCAAACAGATAATCCGCAGACTCCATAGCGGATGCGGATTGCTACGAATCGAAATTTAGTTTTGTGAACGGATTTATAATAGCAGATAATGACGGATAAAATTTTGTTTTTCTTGTTCTAGCCTTTACATTCCACTTTCTTTAATAAAGTTTAAAGATTTCTAACCTTCTAGACATTGATAACGGATATTTGAAAGGATCCGTGGATATCCACATATCCGTACTAGAACCACTAATCAAAAGATTATAGTATTGTAGTTTTATTCTGATTGTGGGTATTAAAAAAGTGACCTATGACAATAACTGATAATAAATTAAAAGGTTAATTAATGATTAACATCGCACATATATTGAAACAGTATCGGGTATTTTTCTTGGGTATTGCTAAAGCTCACGGGTGATGATTGTCACACTAGGCAAAATTAGATAATTCCCTGATCAACCTTTAACCCTAACTTTGCCCGGTGGTGACAATCACCACTGGGTGAGCTTTAGAAATTTTCAGTTATTATTTTATTAATTAATAATTTAACATCGCGCATATATTGAAACAATATCGGATTTGATATGGTCAAAAGAACTAAATTCTGAACCAACATTACTTCAACATCATGAACTTTGCTAAAAGTAAGAATTCTAAAAAATGAGACTTATAAATCAATTAGCCTGTAATTTTCTCTATATATACGAAGCCTGTTCAGAATTGTTGGTATATTATCATCTCAATAATCATTCAGGACATTATATATACCTGAAGAATCTAATATTACTCTCCTTTATTCCTTAAAAATCAACACTTATACAAAAAGTTTTTTCTGTTCTGGATAACAGAAATTCTAATCTTATCATTAATTTTTAACGCATATATCCTACCTACCTTACAAAAGCGACGATGAAATTTTTCCTTTGTTTTCTCATTATCTGTTGTATCGTCTGTAGCATTCCGGCTCATGCATTACCTGTTAATGAAGGTTAATATCAATTCTCTTTCATTTACTTTATATTAAATTTTTCTCGTAAATATTTCAGTTTCTAACCATATATTTAATGCTTGATTGATATTTCATTGATAGATCAATCTCCCCGCTTCGTGAAGCGTTGTAGTTTTTTCAGTAGACTTATTGGTGATTGTGATGATGGGGTTGAATTTGGTGGAAATTGTTCGGTTCTACCTTGTAAAGATGATCTGGAATGTAAGGTTAATCAGAATGGAACTCCTACTTGTACAATCCCCTGAAAAAAGTTATTTGGCACTATTTTTTTTCGTAAAAAGCCCATCATATAAAAAACTTTTTTTTATTAGTAAGTAAATATTAAACATAATTGAAATATAGAATATGTAGTATTTATAGCTTGAATTTTGTTTTTTAAATTTTATGTAAAACAATCACAAAATTAAAATAAATTTCACTTTATAATCATTCTTGATCTCCTAATCAAAAAATAATCGGAAGACTTTAAATATATATATATATATATTTAAAATTTCATCAAATTCATTTTGAAACTAATGAATATAGTTAGAGAAATATTAAAATTTAATTTACTTAAAATTTTATATAGGAAACTTATGCGAAAACATTTATAAAAGCCATATTTTTATTAAAAAAATTAATACTATATAGGGTCACTGTTACTCCGTGATACTTTACAATCAAATAGAGATAAAATATTTAAGTTTTTTACATGAACGTGCAATAATACGTACTGTAGATTCACTAATTAAGCTGAACGAGTCAAAGATCGAAATATTATAAATTATGGCCATATCACTGAGATGTCCACATAAATCTATTATTTTTTTTTGTCTGTCAATTCAATCCAATATGTAAAAATAAGTCTCTTATATTAGGTCCGTGAAATGGTTTCAAGTTCTTACATATAGCTAAAAATTTTTCTAGGTGGAGATATTTCACGGCATTGCAATACCAACCAAAACTGGTTAACATGCCTTATCATCTTAATTCTAGAATTTCTACTATTTTGAAAAGTTTAGATTGCATCATATGCGTTATTTTTACATTATCACTTGAAATAAATGTGATCGGAAAAAAAAATAAATTATGAATACAGAAACTGAAGAGTCAAAGACTCGAAGCTTTAATCTGAACTAAAAGAAAAGGAAGTATAAAATCTAATATTTATTTTATTTACAATCCTCATATAAATATGTCGTTATTTTATCTTGAACTATCCATAATTTCGTGCTCAGTGGATTAACACTCATTTTTGTTTGTTTTACCCTGTATATGCGGTGTTGTAAGAATTGTGCTGTTCTTCGTATATCCTCTTTCCCCTTTAAAGCACAATCTTGTCCAAACTGTAAACCCCTGGAGATAATTTCTACATTTTCATTATGAACAAGTGGAAACAATAAAGTTGATCGATTAGTCCAAGAAAGTCAACTAGAACCGAGACATTATGATTAGGATTGTTTGAGATGAAACATCTCGAGAATCGATGACTTCTAATCTAAGCGCTAGTCATCTCGTGTGAGCCCATACGCCCAAATTTACATGACCCATTAGTGAATGTTACACGTGGCACCCGAAAGCGTATAGACATTTAGGCAAGGATACCGGTTGAGTCTTGGATTACAGAAATATTATTGTCCATGCATATAGCTGGAATCGATCCATTGACCTTATGACAAGATTCTGGCGGATTGAATATTAGAAGGGGGATTAGGCACAGTGATAAAGCAGCGCGGGACAATATGCCAGAAGAATATGTAGCAATGTCTAAAAATTTTAATAAAATGATTGCATATTTAGTTAGTATAATAATTATAATTAAACTGATTCGTCGTGTTTGAAATGATATTTATTTTATTATAAAAATACACACTATAAAAAATAATTAAAATATGTATGTCTCAAGATCCTGTTACAAGGGAATATGCTATAATCATGTATTATTGTAAAGGTGGGGATAGACTATGACATGGACCGCAGTTCAAGGTTTAAAAAGAATTCACTATCTACAGCAATTTTTTATGCTCAGAAGTGGTTATATCTGAAGTTTTTGAAGAGAGTTAGCGTAAGAGGGATTTCACACTATTATAAAAACAACTGACAGCCTTGGCTAATCAGTTTCCTGATTTATCAGGCAATGATGGGTCGAGCCGTAAATTATTATTTTAATTTTAGCTAACTCCTTTATGTAATTAATTGTATTATAAATTGTGTATTTATTTTTCAAATATAATAAACATCCTGGAATGAGGTTCCGTTGGTTAAAAAAAAAATTGTAAAGGTGGAGATTTGAAAGATTTCCATTAAAATAAAGAGAAACCATTGTTTTGAAAAGACAGATTAATATATATATATATATTAAATGAATTATGATTAGATGAAATTTATACGTGACACCTGAAATATTACGTGAATGATAATTGTAAATGAAATCATGTAATCCATCCCAGAGACCAATTAGTAATGAAATAGATAAAAGTTATAAAATGTGAAGAAATGAAAAATAATAAAAAAAAAAATAATATTGATGTGGAATCAGAAAGATCAACAACACAACATCCTGTAGTGCTATACATGTGATTTTTTCTTGTATTTTTTTCATTCTGTGACAACGTGTACGATAATAACCGGTAAAAAATAAATTTAGTTACACAGCATTTTCAATTATTGTTGTATAAATATAGCATCATGTTCTGTTAATCGCAAAATTGAATAAATTGAATATAAAAATTTTGAATAAGAATAATGTCAAAATTAAAAGAAAAGTTAACAACAACATCATCAACATCAACATCAACAATTAAAACAAATATAAAAAGTAAAACGACGACGACGAATAGTATCGAGAAACCCTCAAATTTCATTGGAGCGATTCTATTTGGAACAGCATTTGCAACACGTCTTATATTATTTCAGTTTTCTAATATTACTCAAATACTTGGTAGTCGAGTAGAGATTGTGACGCCGGTAACGAGTTTTAACCGACGTATGTGGTTATAACAAATAATAAGTAGGTCAACAACAAGTAGTGACCTTTCGTATGAATGAAACAATTTTTTTATAAAATTATTATTATTATTGTTATTATGTAGTAACGGAAGGTCTCTATTTATTTGATAATGGAGTTTCACCTTATGATGGAGGAGTTTTTCATCAGGTAAATAATTTCTGGTGTAGGATTTTTACGTTTTTGTTATTTATTTATTTATTCATTTAAAGAATTAAGAATTAAATGATATTTATATAAATATATAAATATATATATATATATATAGGCACCATTACTATTAGCATGTTTTCAATTACTTGGATATCTTCCAAGTTTTTCGATCAAATTAATTTATATAATAATAGATTTAGTGTTGGCTTATCTTTTGGCAAATATTACAAGGATAAAACAAGAATTATATAAAGATTATCCACGATTAGATATAGAATTGGATGAAATTAATCCTTGGATTATTTCTGGACTGTATCCTTTTTTATTTTTTATTTTTTATTTTTTATTTTTTATTTTTTATTTTTTATTTTTTATTTTTTTATTTTTTATTTTTTTTATTTTTATTATGATTATTATTATTTACATTATATATTAATACAGGTATCTATTTAATCCATTAACGATTGCTTCATGTCTCTCACAATCAACAATTATATTTACCAATCTATCAATTATTCTTGGAACTTATTATTCTCTTAAAAGTAAGAAATACAATAATAATTATTTGTATTTTCTAATTTATTTTAATTTAATTTATTTTATTTAATTTAATTTATTTAATTTTTATTATTTTTTTTAAAAAAATTATTTAGATAATAAAAGTTATGGAATGTTTTGGATTGCTATGGCAACTTATTTAAGCTTTTATCCATTAATGTTAGTTATTCCTACTACATTTATGTTTACTAATAGTGCAAAATTTAGAGGAAAGAATTTAAAGGTTAATATAATAATAAATTGGGGGTTTTTTTTTCTATTTATTTAATTTTTATTTAATTTTAATTTTTAATTTTAATTTTTAATTTTTTTTCGTCATAATTTTATTTTTTTTTATCAGAATGAAATTTTTGGATGTGCGGGTTTATATGTTGGATGGTTGACGGGATTATTAATTTTGTCTTATTTATTTGTTAATTCCTGGGATTTTTTATCCGCTACATATGGAGTAATGTAATTATTATTTAATCATTATTCATTCTTAATATTTATATATATATATATATATTATAATTAATAATATTTATTATTATTTTGAATCCAGTCTTCTCTTGCCAGACCTAACACCTAATATAGGTCTGTTCTGGTATTTCTTTATTGAAATGTTTGATCAGTTTAGAAGTTTTTTCTTGGTGGTATTTCAATTGCATGCATTCGTTTTTGTTGTTCCTGTATCTTTAAAATTCAGGTATGGAAAATTTTATATTTTAAAAAATATCAAATATATTTATTTATTATTTTTTTTTTCATTTTATTTTTATAATTTTATTATTTATATAATTTATTTATTTTATTTTATTTTATTTGTGTATAAAAGGAAGCATCCCTTGTTTGTGGTTTTTATGCTGAGTGGAATAATGGCAGTATTTAAGTCATATCCATCCATTGGTGATGCTTCTCTTTATCTTGCTTTCTTACCAATCTATTCTGAAATTGTAAAATGTAATTATTATAATTTCTATTTGTTTTTTCTTAGTTTATTTCTAATATTTTATTTATTTCTCTGATCTTAATCCTAATCCTAATCCCAATTTCAATAATAATAATAATAATGATAATGATAGATATGAGATATAACTATCTTACCACAAATATATTCTGTTATTGTTCAATATTATCACCAATCTTTTATCATTTATGGATATATGCAGGTAGTGGTAATGCTAATTTCTTTTATGCTATAACTTTAGTATATAGTACAGGTAATATTATATTATTAGTGGATGTTACTTACTCTATGCTTAGAAGGGAATTTGATATTTGGAATCCTGATTTAAAGAATTGTGAAATTACTCAAAATTGATAATAGAGAGTAGGTGACAGTAAGTAATTAGCATAGCTTGTGAGCATTTAATAATAACAATAATAATAATGGTGAGTAATAGAGAATAAAAAAATCTGAGAAAATTTTAAGACAGTATATAAAGTATATAATATCTCCTTTTTTTTTTCTTTTCTGAATGTATTTTTTTTTAATTTTTTATTTTTTCCTTTTTTTTTAAAAAAAAAACACAACTCTTGTATATCAAAAATTCACATTAATATTATACTTTTGTAAAATAAATTAATTAATTAATAAATAAATAAATGTGAAAGAATTTAATCAAAAATTTCATACATATATAGTATAATGTATGCTTATTTGATATTCTATTTATGTTTATTATGATATTATGCTTATATTCTGATATTTATACTTTACAATACTATGTTAGACTTATTTGATATTTATACTTTATGATGATTATTACTTAATGATACAATATTATGAGGTCTCAGCGACGGGAACAACTAATCCTAATTATACTTTAATATATATTTATTATTATCATTTCTTTACAGTAATACAGTTAATAACAGTTAATAACAGTTAATAAATAATTCTATAATTACATTTTTGGAGATTGTTTCATTATAACCTTAGAACGATAACGATATCTAATAGACTTAAATTTAAAATCGATCAAATACCGATTTGGTTTTTTCGTTTGGCGTGCGCGTACAGGGATATTTATGAATATCTGACGTTATATAATACTTTTATATAATCGATATCATTGTGTAATTGCATCGGATATTATATATCGTGCGTGCATATTAATTATAGAAACAATAATTAAAAAAATAATTTCGAGACCAAGCTTTAATTACATGAAGTGTTACTTAACGCGTTTTATAAAATAATTACCTAGGGGTAAAAGTTTTATTCATTCATTCATTGATCTCGACTTCTTTATCTTTCTGTTTGTTATATTTGTCAAAGTTTATTTCCACGATAAGAAAAAAGAACGAACACAATAAATCTTATTTTGTACTACTTTAAATAAAGTTTTTTTTTTTTTAAAAAAAAAAAAAGGTTTTCGTTGGACATCCTACAAACCATTTTACCCACTTATAAAACACTTAACTTTCGATATTTACAAAGAAGGTAATCAAAATGATTTCTTAATTATTTAGTCAAAGTAACTTTTACGAATCATTGCCACTTTGGTATGTAATATGAAAGAAGGAAAAATGAATTTATGAAAATTTTCTGCACTCCTGGTCTATTCACACTATCATATCATACAAACTCATACACATGATACACAAAATTCAAATTCATACACATAATGCACATTCAACTTTCATGTAACAGTTTACAAAAAGAAGAAAGAGAATATGCATTGCATTTGAAAATCATAATGATCATAATAAAAAAAATTAAAAAGGTGAAAATGAAAAAAAGAATGATCACGCTAAGTACGGAGAATTTGCATAAGTTGCATACTTGCATAAATTTTCATAATAGATTGTATAGTTTCCATAGTATTATTATGCCAAGGAAAACATAACAAATAATGAAAAAAAAAAATGAAACAAAAATAAAAACTTTAAACTGTAAATAGACTTTTTTTAAATTGTTTCTATTGAATATTCTTAATATTCTTTAATTTAATTATTCTTCTTTAATGATTTTCTTTCAATGATTTTCTTAATATTTTTTGTTTCGCTTTCTAGATTCTTCCTAATTAATTTTCAATTTTTTATGCAAAAAAACATTGATGACACGAGCTCTTCGGAATTCTTATATTTTCTACATAAAGAAGTTTTTGAATATTTGTATAATCCAAAAATGGAAATTTTCAAATAATGGATTTTGTTTTTCCTATTCTATTTCACATATCTAATATGTAAATAGTATGTAAAGTGTGCATATAACTGATGAATCATCTCGTTGTTCTTTTGTTCTATCAGATGTTGTGTGATGATGAAAAATGTAAAATTGGCGTAAAAAAAAATTAAATATACTCACATATATTACTATTCATTTATGTTCGTTTTTAAATAAAATTGTCCGAATTATTAAATAACTTGGTAAAATTACAGAAAATAAGTCAAAGTTAAACGTGATTAATGATGAGATATGATGGTAAAAAAAAAGAAACGTAGATTATGAAACAATAGTATAAATGTAAAAAATGTATAAATGTAAAAAATATATAAATGTAAAATGTACATTTGTAAAAATGGTATAAACTTATTAATTCTTTTCATTTTTTATTATCTACTTTTTTTTTTTCTCAAGAAAACCTGTTAATTATGCACTCCCAGCCAAATATCATCTTTTTTAGAATAGCTTATCATAAATCAATTATTATTATTATTATCATTATTATTATTATTATTATCTTATTATAATTTTCGCATCAATCTCATTAACTCGATGAACTAAAAAAATCACCTGTTTATCTTGTTCGTTATGGCAATTCATTTCCCTCAACATACTCATTTATCAATTACTAATGCAACCAGTCACCAGTCTTTGTTTTTACTCATTTGGTGGCAAAAATTTTCTCAATGAATGAATCTCTTTACGTATTAAATCTTGTTTTTTTTACATTGAAATAAAATGATTGGTTATTTCAAAAAATTCTACTTTATTAAGTTAAATAAATAATTTTAAGAAGAATAATAATAAATATAATAAAAGTAATAGTAAAATAAATAAACATTTAAAAAAAGAATGTCAATAGATATATATATATACATATAATCATAAAAACTTTAAAATTTATAAAACTTTTTCTTTATTTTCTTAAATATAGAAACGTTTACTTGAAACACAAGGGGGGATGATTATTGTCATCATTCCAAACAAAAAAAAAAAATCACCTCGCATTATTCCAGTAGAAACCTGGTATGTACATATCGATATGTACAGCATAATATATACATATATAACGTTTGAATAAAGTAAAAAGGTTTCCAACTATTTATAGTATATATGTATTAAATGTATAAGTTCTTCAATATATGTAGTATATGTAAAAAAATATAGTTTATAAAAATATATTTAGATAGATATTAGATATATATATATACACACTTATCTCAATCCATCTTCTAAACTTCTAAAACAGTTTCATTCTTACCGATATCAAAATTTTTATCCTTTTCTTTTCATTTTTTTTTCTCTTCTAAAAAACAAAAAAAAAAACAATAATTATTTAATTAATTATTGATAACAATAAATATTCATTATATTAATATTAATTAAAAAAAAAAAAGTCGTTTAAATAAAATTACCAAAGCTTATAGCAATTTGTATATAAATTTTTAGAATATTCATATTATTATTATTCGAATTTTCGTTATTCAAATAAAAAAATTTTAATAATAAAATTTAATAACAAAATCTAAACAAAAAATGTCCGAAACAAGAAGACTTGCTGTTTCTTCATCAATTCGCCCTTCAACAATCTATACTTCAAATCCATTATCACGTGATCGACCTATATCATCATCCCGTCCTTTATCCACTCACTCTACACGCCCATATTCTTCTATTCAAGATAATTCAAAACTCTCCTTTCAATCATCATCACGTCCCTCTACGATTTATATATCCGCCAATGTTTCTCAATCATTTAAAGTAGTACGTCGTCAACGACAACGAAAACCAAGTCGTCGAGGTACTCATAACGTATTAAATCAAACTTTGGATAATTTTTATAATACTTTAAGACGTACCAAAACTTATCAAACCGTTAAAAGTGCAAAGAAATGGGTTAATGAATATGAAAGTTATCGAAAATCAGTAATATTAGAAGAGAAAGAATATGAAAATTATCGATTTTCTATGATCATGTCATTAAACGAGAATGAAAATGAAAATGAAAATTATGATTATGAGAATTGGAATGATTATGAACAACAAGTTAATGTTAATAATAATAATAATAATAATAATAACAACATTAATAATCGTTATCGAAGATATGATGATGAAAATAATTCTTCTATTTCTCCCGTAACAAAAAGACAATCTCGTTTATCACCATTATCGACATCGACAACATTAGGTAGAGAACAACAAATGATCAATAGATATCAAAACAGTTTGAGTAATAATCAAAAACATAAAGTTACCGAACCACTTTACTCGAATTATTTCTAAAAATATCATTCATTTATATTTTATTCAATCTATATATTATTTGTCACGTGTGCAAACACAAAATTCTTTTTCTCTGGTCAACATCGTCAATTCAACTTTACCTTTTTTCTCTCTTGTTGACATCGTCGACTTTAAAAATTCAACCCCCATTACTACCACTATACCCTTGTACATTTTCTCGTTCTTCACTTCTTTTTTATAACATCTTTTTTTTCATATTATTATCACAAAAAAATATAATTATATATATTACCAAATTATTCTTTTTTTGAAACTCAATTTTCTCTCAGAACAATAACAAACAACAACAACAATAATAATAATAATAACTTCTCGATTACTAACCAAATTGTTTGTTATTTATTATTTATTTACTTATTTATTTTTTATTTATTGAGTGGAGCTTTATTTATCTTTAGTTTAAATTTTTATTTTCGTAATTTTTTTTTTTAGTTTTTTAGTTGAGATAGAAAAATGGGTTTCGTCACTTGTAAATATAAAATTAAAATTATACATACATTTCAAAAAAATAATAAATTTACCTTAAGAGCGATCGCCCTGGTGGTGAATTTTTTTTAAAAAAAATTATTTATATTATATTTATTATATGTTTTATTAAATAAAAATTAAATAAATAAAAAACAGTTTATTAAAAAAAAAACCCCATAAATTTTTAAAAAATGAATTTAATATACATGACATGATTTAAAATCAATCAACCAACCACCAAGTAAATAAAATAAAATTACAAATAATTTGAGTTATTATTATACATGTATACTAATTTTCTAAAATAAAACTATTTGAATATAAAGAGAAATTTAAAATTGTTGTATTAAATTTTTATAAAGTATCTTTCACCTTTGTTCTTTTTCTTACAAAATCATGTTGATCTTCATTTGATAATTCTTCTAAAGTTTTTCCTTTCGTTTCAGGAATTAAGAAAGTGAATAATAAACCAGCAAACATGAAAGCAGCAAAAATCTGTAATAGTTGAGGTAGAAAAGCATTAGAGCCTTTTGCTCCTCCTCTATCTTTTAATGCACCAAATCCTACTTGAGCAATAATAGCTCCTAATTTTCCTGATGCTGCACTAATACCGTGACCAGTTGATCGATAACGGGTAGGGAAAACTTCACCGGGAACAATAAATGTTGTTGCATTGGGTCCAAAGTTCATAAAGAACTATATATATATTTTTTTTTAAAAAAAAAAAAAAAATTTCAATTAATTTTAACATATTTAGCATAGAAAAATCCAAATAAAACAAAAATAATAATAATACCTGAATTAATGTAAAGATTACAATGAAAAGAGGTATAGATTTATCTTTAATTGGGTTAAAACCAAATCCGAGAACAATGAATAATGCGGTAAGAGCTGTAAAGCCCATAAGTTGTATAGGCTTTCGACCCCATGAATCCACTAAAGCAACGGTAAACCAATATCCAGGAACGGTACCCAATAAATTTATTATAATGTTACCAATTGAGATATTCCATAAAGTTTGGAATGGAGTACCTTTACCATAACCAATTTTTTCCAATATAAAAGAATTATTTAATCCGATTCCGTAAAAAGCCACATCAAGGAAAAACCAAGTCAAAGAAGTTCCAAGTAAAATTTTTCCATTTTCCCATTTACTAAAATATTTCTTAAAATCACTCCAAGAAGCTTTAGGAGCATCGACTTGAACAAATGGTTGAGTATTATCACGCTCTTCATAACCACCAGTTTCTAATACATCAGTAATATCTTTAGCTGCTTGATCAATGTTAAGTTCAACATCCATAGTATATCGGGGAGTTTCTGGAATGGTAAGACGAAAGTAAAGAGCAATTACGCCAGGAACAGCACCCATACCCAAAACAATTCTCCAAACATAATCAATATTTGTATGATTATCTAAAATAGATGACTTGAAACAAGCTAAAGTAATAACTGATACGATGGCTGCTGACAGGATACCAAAACCCTGCATAGCGAAAACTGCTGCAACCATTGCACCTCTTCTTTTTGTGGTGGCGTATTCACTAGTAATAACTATTTTAAATAAAACGATTGATAAAATAATAATTAATAATTAATTGATGTAAAATGAGAAATATTAGAAATTAAATATTTTAAGAAATTAGATCGTACTTGCGGATAAAGGGTAATCTCCGCCAATACCGATACCCAAAATAATTCTCCAAAAGATGAGAATTCCATTGAAAGATACTACATAGCTGGATGCCGCAAGAGCAGATGCCATTGTAGCAACTATGATAATCATCAATTCAATACCATACATCTACAATGTTATAAAAAATATATTAACAATAAATATTTGGGTTTTGCTTGAGTTCACCGGTGGTGATTGTCACCTCACCACCAGGAAAGATAATAATTCTATGTCTAATTGTGACAATCACCACCTGGTGAGTTTTAACAATTTTCTATATTAACGAGAAAAAATATTTACCTTCTTACGTCCATAGTGATCAGCTAATATACCGAACGCGAATTGACCTACCAAAGTACCCACCGGTGCACTAACTTTTACACCTATATCAATATTCGACGGAAGAGAAGAGGTGTTGAAGTAAACATAAGCCAACATAACGGACACAATATTTATAGCAAAAAGATCGTAGGCATCGGCAAAGAATCCTACACCAGCTACTATGCAAGTTCTAATATGAAACCATCCAAATTTGGCATTATCGATTTCCTCTAAAGCTTTTCTACGTTTAGAATCATATTCATCAACTTCAATTACTTCTGATTTTTCATTCATGATTATTTAATTTTATATTCTTTTTTTTTTTAAACGAACCAAGAAAAATCAAAAGAAAAAAAATCAAAAAGAAGAAAAACAAGAAGATATATATTATTTAATTTTTAAAGTGAATTTTTTTTTTTCGTGAAAAAAAATTACAAATTGTAAAAAATACCTTGATACTTAAATACATTTTAGATTATATCTTTTAAATTATATAATAAATAATTTGTTTTGTTAATAATATTAAAAAATTCAAACAATCGGTTCCCCGAAGGTTAAAAAATAGACGCGCGGTAAACTAATTGCTTACATTATCCTTTAATGGTAAACACCTTTAATTATTGGAAAAAGATATGCAAGGTGCATTGGCTAAATTCTTGGCATCAGACGCCATTCTGATTGGCTGGCACATTACCAATATTCTTTAGAATTCTTTAGATGAGATGTACACCGTATCACCTAAAAAATGTGGAGATTATCTGATGTGATATTCGCTAAGATCTAAAAAACAAACCTTAACCCTCATTTTGTATGCATTGTTTCTCATTCAAATTTTTTTTTTTTTGTAAAAGAAGGTATTGAAAATCTGTTCTCGAGAGCGATATATTTGAAACCAATTATTGAATTTAATTAGAATAATTTGTTAAAACTAAATCCTTTTTCGATTATAAAATTATCATTTGGGTTTTTGTTGTCCAAAAAAAAAAAAAAATAAAGAAATCTAATTAACTTCTTTTGAACGAAAAAAAATATTCCTTTGACTTTTCAAAAAGAAAGGAAAGTCAAATGATCAACATCAATTTTTAGTTTAATTCAATAAAAAAAAAAAGGGGAATGGTGGCTAAAGCATGTCCATCATGTGATTACCCGAAATTAAGTATGCCTCCCAACACTTTTTATTAATGCACCAAGATATGTTTAGACATCCGTTTCTTGCATTTTTCGTGGTTTGCATCGTCGGGCTGATCCGTATAAACAAAAATTCACGATATTAATTGGCTTTTAGACGACCCCCAAAATATATCGCTTAGAAAGGAAAGGTCAAAGAAATAATTAAAAATTCTTTTCTGTTTTCAAAAAAAAATGTGGTTTTTTGACAACAAAGAAATATTATTAATTTCATTATAAATAGTTGAAATTGTCGAACTTCAAATGTCAATCGAAATTTTTAATTTTTTAATTTATTGATTACATTATTATAAATTTCTAATAACCTTCGCCAAAGAAAAAAAAAGCATACTTCAAAAGAATACACCTTCAATATTTTATAATTTTATTCATTTATTTTACAAAAATTGGTTCCAAAAAGAATGCTTTAATACGTTTCTCATTTCTTTAATTACAATTTTTCTACCTGAACTTAAATTTCCTTTTTCTGCTTTAACTTCTTTTTTATCTTTTATAATAATTTCATTAATTTCATTCTCATCATCATCATCATAATCCAAATAATGTAAAGTGTCAATATTAAATTCTTTCAAATAATTATAAAGCTGATCATAATTTTGACCAACTTTTAATGGTCCATGACTATCATCAGAAATTGTAAATTTCCCACCTTTTTGAATTATTAACTAATGGTAATATTTTGTAATAGTTTGTATTAATACATAAATTTTTTTTTTTAAAAAAAAAAATAAAAATAAAAATAAAATAAAAATTTACTGACCTTCAAGATGTCTCTTAGTGGATAAGCATCAGTAAAATATTTAAATCCAGCAGAATTAATTTCAAATAATCCACCATAATTAATAATGAAATCAATATTTCTCTCAATTTTTTGCCAAATTAAATTTGTTAATAAAAATTTTGGTCTATAAATTCGGATAACATCAAAATGTCCCACAACTATTGGTTTGAGATGTTGTAACATTTGATATTGTGAATCAAAATATGAAAGGAATAAAGATTCTTCTGGGGAATAAGAATAATCATCATCATGAGAAACAAAAGATGATGATGATGATTTAGAAAGAGCAATCTCAAAAGTTTTTTCATCAAAATCAATTGGCGTCTCGTGAACATGATGTACCGAACCAACAATATATTCTAATTTATACTTTGAAATTAAATCAAGCATTTCAGTAGTAGTTGAATCTGTAATATTTTCAGTTTCTAACCCTACAATAAGTTTGATATGAGATTTATATTTTTCTTGAAGGTGACGAGCTTCAATGACAAATTTGGAAAAAGTCATTGATAAATCTGATGGTTGAAGATGAGACTATTTGAAATAAATGAAATATATTTAAATTTTTTTTTAATATTTAATTCCTTGAGAATTAATAAAGAAATATCAAAATACCTCTTCAGGATATAAATCCTGAGCTCTATATCTAGGACAGTGTTCTGATAATCCATAAATTAAAAATTTCTTTTTAATAGCTTCCTGAATTATCTCCTCAAGATTTCCTGTTGCATGTTCACAAAATTGACCAGAATGACTATGAAGTGAAAATGGCATCTTTTTTTTTCACCATTTCTTCCAAAAAATGGCTTATTTAATAACAAATCATATGACTAATTTAATGTTGCGTTTTGTCATACTATTGTTTCCCATTTTGTTAAGGCTTCTTTTTTGTTTTTGAGTAATATCTCAAAACTTTATTGAACTTCTTGATGATATAGATGATTACAAAGTAATCATCGAAGTTGAAAATAAGAAAAAATCTTTTATGGCACATTCTAATATATTAAAATACCGATCGTCTTATTTTCGTAAAGAGGTAGAAAATATTCAACCAAATAAAAATAATATCAAAACGATTATCAAGTCAAGTATTTCGGCTCAAATTTTCGATGTCATTCTTAAGTAAGTTATTATCAATAACTAAAAATATTATTATTTATATTTTATTTATTATTATTATTATAATTTTATAAATTATTTATAAATTTATTTATCTTATAGAAACTTTTTTTATTAGATTCCCCTAAACTAAAGCTACCATATTATATATTTTGTGTCAAAATTGAATGTTTACATGTGGAGTAATTACACTTTAAACAAAACTGACAAAAAATAAAAAATTTAATCTTTGAACGTTACCCGTACCGGAATTCGATGGATATTAAAGATAGATGCCAACTATCTTACAAGAAATTGTAGCCATTAATAATATCTACAACTTTATTTGAACGACTTTTCGTAGTATCGAATGAAAACTTGGACTTTACTTAGGCGTGAATAAAAACGGTCGAAATTTATTAAAAATTTTAAAAAAAATAAAGAAATATTTATCAATGGTTTCAACATATAAAAGTTTTTATTTATTAAAATAATAATAAAAATGATACTAAGTAATATTAAAGCTGAGAATACATAGCATCTTATGTAAAGTAATTAGACATATTTAATTAAAATTGAGCGAATAATTAACGATTAAATTCCAGAGAATAATTTTTGAACGTCCGGCGTACAGCCGTTGATATTAAATTTAATTCGAAAATAAAAATTCTGAAAACTTTACAAATAATGCTACACATTCATAGCTATAAGATTATTTAGGAATATATTTGTTGTTTTATCAATAAATACTAAACTTTAATATGTAGAAACTTTTGATAATTATTTTTAGATTTTTTTTAATATCAAAAATAAAATAATCGACAATAAATTTGCCCACCGCGCAAATTTCTAAAGCATTATTGTCGATCATTTTACCGTTGAATTCAAAAAAAAATAACTATCAAACGTTACTACATATAAATACTCATAATTTATTAATAAAATAGCAAATATGTTACTAATTAATCTTAAAGCTAAGAATATATAGAATTTTTTGTAAAGTTTTTAGAATTTTTACTTGCGAATTAGATTTAATATCAACGGCTGTACGCCGGACGTTCAAAAATTATTCTCTGGAATTTAATCGTTAATTATTCGCTTAATTTTAATTAAATATGTCTAATTACTTTACATAAGATGCTATATATTTTCAGCTTTAATGTTACTTAGTATCATTTTTATTACTGCTTTAATAAATAAAAGCTTTTATATGTAGAAATATTTGATAATTGGTTTCGGATTTTTTTAATAAATTTCGGACGTTTTTATTCACGCCTAAGTAAAGTCCAAATTTTCATTTAATATTACGAAAAGTCGTTCTAATTAAAGTTTTAAATATTATAAATGGCTACAATTTCTTGTAAGATAGTTTGTATTTACCTTTAATATCCATCGAGTCCAGTATGGATAACGTTCAAAGATTAAATTTTTTATTTTTTGTCAATTTTATTTAAAGTGTAATTACTCCACATGTAAACATTCAAATGTGTCATATGATAGCTTTAGTTTAGAGTAATCTAACAAAAAAAGTTTTTGCAATTTAGATCACCCGTTATGTTACAATTAGCATTTTAGATTTAGTTATTTTTTTAGTTGCCTGGTGACTTTTGATACCCCACTGTATACGTAGTCCTAGTTCTAATTTTACTTTAGATAAATTGTCTAAACGTTTAACTTATTCTGATGATTATGGTAAACCCATTACAAAAAAATCATATCATTTCTCGATTGTTGATTATGAAGTATTCAAGGTTATTAAGAAAACTATTTAGAAATTTTCAATCTTTAGAAAATGATTATATTTTTTTTTTTAGATTTCTATTTTATGAAATTGTATGAATTTTTTTTTTAACTTGAGATTGTTGGTTTGTGGACATCATAGAATTATCATTATCATTAATAAATTTAAATCTCTATTTCTTAATTTTAATAACATATAATTGATATTTTTATTTAACTATACAATAATTTTTTCGTCCAATTATTTTACGTTTATAATTTCTTAAGAATTGCACAGAATAGTGACATTGATTTTTTCAATAATATTATAATTATCAAAGAAATAAATAATTCTTAGTTGCCACCAAAAAAAAATAAATCTGTTTTGATTAATACTGCGTCGAGATAAAAGAAATCTGCATATAGTTATTGTTTCTCTTTTTGGTGAGGCCTCCTTTCTTTTTTGTTTTTAATGCTCAATTTTACGTAATAGAAATATGTCTTTAAAATTTTTTGACAAGTTATCTCAAAACTTTATTGAACTTCTTGATGATAAATATGATTATAATGTAATCATTAGAGTTGAAAATATGGAAAAATCTTTTATGGCACATTCTAATATATTAAAATACCGATCGTCTTACTTTCGTAAAGAGTTAGAAAATATTCAACCAAATAAAAGCAATATCGAAACAATTATAAGTCAAGCATTTCGGCTCAAATTTTCGATGTCATACTTATTGTTAATAACTAAAAATAATATTAATTATTTATAATTAATTTATTTTATATATAGATATATTTATGGAGGAATTGTTAATTTAGAAAATGTTGAAACCAGATTTATTTATGATTTAATGTAATTGCTAACGAATTAGAATTTGAGGAATTGACTACTAAATTAGAAGCCTATCTTATTGGAAACCAATGCTTCTTGATTAAAAACACATTTTTCCTTTATTTATCATTTAATTTTTATTAATAACTACTTTAAAAATTTAGAAAAATTTTGTAATGATATTATGGTCAAATATCCAAATCTTATTTTTAAAGGTTCAGATTTTAATTCTCTTCTAGAATCAGCCAAATATCTCTTCTCAAACGAGATGATTTACAGATAGAAGAAATTAAAATTTGGGATTATGTCGTTGAGTAGGGAATTTCTCAAAATCCTACTCTACCCAAAAACAACGCTGAATGGAATAAGGAAAAACTTTTTGATTTTAAAAATTGCACTACAACAATCCTTACCATATATTAGATATTTCCATATTCCTGGTAAAGACATCTTAGATAAAATCCAGCCATTCAAGAAATTCTTGATAAACCACTCTGGAAAGATTTGATGCAATATTTAATATCTCCTGAGCGACCCGTGAATTTGATTATTTTACCTACTCGAGGTCGAGGAGATGAACCAATTTTTCCACTATCATTACTAATGAACACATTTCTGAAATTTCCTCTTGGATTGATCGTAAGCCGGATACTTATTCTTTATCAAATATTCCTTACAAATTCGAACTGATTTTAAGAGGGAGTATAAATGGGTTTGCTCCTCAAACTTTCTGGAATATATGTCATGGTCATTCTCGTACTGTAGTGATCATGAAAGTTAAAAGAACAGATGAAATCTTTGGAAGATACAATCTTTTAGTTTGGGATGCATATGTTTTCTTTTGTGGTTGGAGACAAACAAAAGATAGCTTTATTTTTTCATTGAAAAATGGTGATAGAAAATTCAATTCTTAGCAGGGTAAAAAACCTGAATGTGCATTTATGAATGTGGGCAAAAGTAATCAAGGATCATCAGGTCCGTGTTTTGGAAATTCCCTTTCTATGTATAGTCCTGATTCTTTTAATTTTACTTTAGAAAGAAGTTGTAAATGTGATAATAATTTTGATAATTATGGTAAATGTGATAATATTTTTGGTAATTATGATAAATTCATTGCAACAACATCATATCGTTTCTCGATTGTTGATTATGAAGTATTCAAGAAAACTATTTAAAAATTTCAATCTTTAGAAAATGGTTAATGTTAATTATATTATTTTTTACATTTCTATTTTATGAAATTGTATGAATATTTTTTTTTAGCTTGAGATTGTTGTTTTGTGGTTATCATAGAATTATCATCAATAAAATTTACATTCTTATTTCTTAATTTTAATAACATATAATTGAAATGTACATATATTTTTATTTAACTACACCAGCCTGCCAAAAGTATCCAGACAGCTATTTTTTATTAAATTTTTTTAAAAATTTCAAGGGTGAATTCTGGCACAATGAATAATTTAAATTGCACAAACTTTTTTTTAAAAGAATCCCCGAATTAAGGGCTATCGTATGATATCTCATTTATTCAAATTAGATGCCTACTTGTTTTAAAATCTTGTCTTAAATAAAAGTTACCAAAAATATTAAATTAAATTATTAACCGAAATCTCTTTCGATTTCAATAACTATCTATTGGAAGTACCTACTATCTTATAAAAAGTTGTAGACCTAAACTAAATCTACAACTTTTATTAGTACCATATTTCATGTTTTCTAGTTACAATTAGAACTTTACTTAGACACAACTAAAAAATGATCGAAATTATTGTTGATCATTTACTGTTTAAAGAAAATTATCAATC